TTTTTAAAGTTCATAAATGAATAGTATGTTATACTGGCAAAAGAACAGAAATATAGATTAATTGAATATAATTGAGAGTCCAGAAGGAAAACTCTTGCATTTATGGTGACTTGATTTTTGACAATGGTGCCAAGATGATTAAATAGGAAAAGAATGATCTTTTCAACAAATTGTACTGGAACAACCGAATTATACATGTAAAAGACTGAATTTGTAGTTCTGCCTCACACTATAGTGAAAAATTAACTCAAAATAGATCAAAGACTTAAATGTAAAAGCTAAAACTATAAAACTCTTAAAAGAAAACATAGATGCACATTTTTATGATTTTGGAGTAGGCAATGATGTCTTAAGACAACAAAAGCACAAGTGTCAAAAGAAAAAATAGATAAACTGAACATCATTAAAATTAAAAACTTTCGTGCTTCAAAGGACAACATCAAATGAAAAATCCCACAGAATGGGTGAAATTTCTTACAAATTATATATCTTATAAAGGACTCAAATTTAGAATATATAAAGAGTTATCATAATTCAATAATAAAAAGACAAATAACCCAATTAAAAATGAGCAAAATATCTGAATAGACAGTTATTTACAGAAGACATACAGGCCAGGCACGTTGGGGCTGATGCTTTTGGGAAGTTGAGATGGGGAAATCACTTGAGCCCTGGAGTTTGAGACCAGCCTGGGCAACATGACTAAACCCCATCTCTACAAAAAATACAAAAATTAGCTAAGCATGACGGTGTGTGCCTGCCTGTAGTCCCAGCTACTTGGGAGACAGAGACAGGAGGATCACCTGAGCCCAGAAGGCAGGGGTTGCAGTGGCCAAGATTGTACCACTGCACTCCAGCCTGAGTGACAGAGTGAGACCCTGTCTCAAAAAAAAAAAAAAAAGATATACAAAGGGCCAATAAGCCCATGACAAGATGCTCAATGTTATTAGCCATCAGGGAAATGCAAATTAAAACCACAATGATATACTACTTTGCAACAACTAGGATGGGTATCATTAAAAAGATGAAAAACAACAAGTATTGGTGAGGATGCAGGAAAATCAGAACTCTCATCTACCATAATGGGAATGTAAAATGGTGCAGTAGCTTTGAAAAAGAGCCTGTGACCATTCCTCCAAAGTTAAACACAATCCAATTTAATTTAACTCAGAAGTTAAACAATATAGTTGTGGGCAGATCACTTGAGCTAAGTTCAAGACCAGCCTGGGCAACACAGCAAAAACCCGTCTCTACAAAAAAATACAAAAAGTAGCCAGACGTGGTGGTGCATGCCTGTCGTCCCAGCTACTTGAGAGGCTGGGGTGGGAAGATCACTTGAATCTAGGAAGTTGAGGTTGCAGTGAGCAAGATGGTGCCACAGACCCTCCAGCCTGGGTGACAGCTAGGCCCGGTCTCAAATACATGCACGCACACACTCACACACTTTTTTAAGTGAAAGAAGCCAGTTGCAAAAGAACACATGTTATATGATTCCCTTTATATAGGCAGAATAGGTAACTTTATAGAGACAGAAAGTACATTAGTGGTTGCCAGGGTACGAAGTGGGTGGGGGAGGGATTTGGCAGGTGACAGCTAAGAGGTGTGGGGTTTCTATCCAATGTAATGAAAAGTTCTAAAATTGATTGTGGTAATGGTTTCACAACTCTGTGAATATTAATATATTTACATATACGTGTGGTTTTGGTACGCTAAAAGTATAATTGAACTGTACACTTGAACTAGTTGGATTATATGATATGTAAATTACATTTCAATAAAGCTGTAGAAAGTTTGTAGACGAAGTGATACAACTACTAAATTAGAGAAATAGAGGAACTGAAGAGTCAGAGAAACAGATTGGGAATAAAATAATGCCATTAATAATCTAATAAGTGAATTAGAACAAGCAAGAACTAAAGTATACAAGGCTAGACATCAAATATATGGCTTAGCAATAAGGTTTGAGATAATTACACTTACAACAGAAGAAAAGAGAAAAACATTGACGCAATTAGAGACAATACAATTGATATGGAGACCAAATAATGCTAGTTCCTCAAGAACTCCAATCAATAGTATAAATAATATATACAAAGATACAGATGCAGAAACTTCTCCTAAAATGAACAATTGTTTCTACCAATTGTAAGAGTATGCTATGCTCCAAGAAAAACTGATACATAATAATTGACCAGAAAATATAACATAATTAAGTTATTGGACTTCCAGGGTAAATATCTGATGGGCCTCAGTTTCTGCACAGCAATTTAAAACACACACACACACACACACACACACACACACAAACAGAATAGAGCAATATCTGCACGCCTTTGAAGGCAAGAAAATATGACATATTACTCTCAGCTAAGTCACTGTTAAAAATACAAAAGCAGCAGGCGGTCATTCTCAAACACATACAAGCTGAGAGAGTTGAGCATCTATAAGCCCCTTCTCGGAAAAAAGAAAAAAAAAATTAGGCTGGTCATGGTGGCTTATGCCTGTAATACTAGCACTTTAGGGGGCCAAGGCAGGCAGATTGCTTGAGCTCAGGAGTTTGAGACCAGCCTGGGCAACATAGCAAGACCATATCTCTACAAAAAATAAAATAATTTGCTGCGTGTGGTGGCGTGTGCCTGTGGTCCCACCTACTCAGGAGGCTGTGAGAAGATTGCTTGAGCCCAGGAGGTTGAGGCTGTAGTGAACTGTGATTGCACCACTGCACACTTTGACCTGGGCAACGAGTGAGACCCTGTCTCAAAAAAGAAAGAGAAAAAGAGAGAAAGAATGAAAGAAAAAGAGAGGAAAGAAGGAAGGAAGGGAGGGAGGGAGGGAGGGAGGGAGGGGAGGGAAGGAAGGAAGGAAGGAAGGAAGGAAGGAAATACAGAAGGAGAAAGAAAGGGAGAGAGGGAGGGAGAGAGAGAGAAAGAGTAAGAAAGAAGAAACAAAGAAAAGAAAGAAAAAAAGGAAAGAAAGAAGAGAAAGAAGGAAGAAAGAAAGAGAAAGAAAGGCAAGAGAGAAAGAAAGAGGAAGAAAATTAGTTAACTAAGAGATGAATTAAAACAAAGAATTCTTAAGTAGTCTGTGTTAAAAGTCCTGACCATTGCATCTACTTAAAAGTTTGAGCAGTGAATTTATTGAAATACAAACATAAGACTAAGGAATGGGGAAATTATGGTTGCAGAATAAAATATAAATGAATATGAACCCTGACAAAGTGAAAGTTATAGTGTCAGTGACAACAAAAGGAACCAGAGAAGGGGAGGTGGAAGAAAGAGTTAATCACCTCACAGTTCACAAAGGAATCAGTGAAATTAGTCTAAACTTGAATCGTGTGTATTCACAATTGAAATGGTGTGATATCAGGATTTGCCTTAAAACACTCCGAAGAAGGAAGAAGGGAAGGGGAAGGGAGAGAGATGAGGGAAGAGGAGAAAGGAAGGATGGAGGGAGAGAGAGAGAGAAGGAAAGAAAGAGATGGGGAGGACTGGGTACGGTGGCTCACACCTGTAATCCTAGCACTTTGGGAGGCCAAGTCAGGTGGATCACCTGAGGTCAGGAGTTTGAAACCAGCTTGGCCAATGTGTCAAAACCCTGTGTCTACTAATAATGCAAAAATTAGCAGGGCGTGATGGCGAGTACCTGTAATCCCAGCTACTGGGGAACTTGAGGCAGGAGAATTGCTTGAACTCGGGAGGCGGAGGTTGCAGTGAGCCGAGATCACGTCACTGCACTCTAGCCTGGCAACAGAGTGAGACTCCATCTCAAAAAAAAAAAAAAAAAAAAAAAAGAGAGAAAAAAGAAAGAAAGAAGGAAGGAAGAGAGAATAAAGGAAAATGAGTATGGTGCTGGTTGGAGGTAGTGAAATGGATGAGACAAGAACGGCAAAATGATCATGTTGAGGCTGGATAATACATACATGATGGTTTATTATACTATTCTCCTTTCTTTTTTTATTTTTTTCACAATAAAAAGTTAAAATACAATAACAAAATGACATTAAATGATTTTTAAAGCATAATGACTTTAATCCCTTTATGACTTAAAATTGTGAAATACATTTTAGGACCCAGTGTCTCTTGTAGTGAAAAAAAGTGTATCTGAAAGTCAGCAGGTCCTTCAGTTACACTTTGATCTCCTTTTCTTTTGCTAGATTTAAGTAAAATTAACTTTAACATAGTTATTTTTAAATAGTATATGTCCAATGAGTCCCCTTCTTATAAAATCCTTTCTTTCATCTATCTGTCCTTCCATCTTCAGTTTGTTTGTGTGTCTAGAAAGAGGGCTAGAAGGATTGCCATCAAAAATTATCTCTGGATATGGGATTTTGACTAATTTATTGTCTTCTTTTTCTGTTCTGTTTTTCAGTTTTTTTTATATATATATATATAAAAAACTTAAATATATATATATTTATTTATTTATTTATTTTTGAGACAGAGTCTTGCTCTATAGCCCAGGCTGGAGTGCAGTGACACAATCTCAGCTCACTGCAAACTCTGCCTCCTGGGTTTGAATGATTCTCCTGCCTCAGCCTCCCAAGTAGCTGGGACTACAGGCACATGCCACCATGCCCAGCAAATTTTTTTGTATTTTTAGTAGAGATGGGGTTTCACCATGTTGGCCAGGCTGGTCTTGAACTCCTGACTTCAAGTGATTCACCCACCTCAGCCTCCCAAAGTGCTGGGATTACAGGCGTGAGCCACTGTGCCTGGCCTTGTTCTCTTTTAATACTTGCTGTTTACATTATGAAAACTAATTTAATAATTTGCATAATTAGCACCTATCATTTTTATACAAATAATAAAGTCACTACTCTTTAAAAAGTGTTGTTTCAGTTTATACACTTTCCAGCAATGTATAAGTTTCACCACAACTATGCCAGTACTGGTAGTTACACATTTTCAGATGCTGATAACTGAGGGACTTAAAATCCTCAAATATGGGAGACAAGTAAAGCCTTCATGTGCTAATGATCTGTTTTGTTTCTTTGGGTCCAGGAAGCATCTATGATTTTTATTTCATCAAACAAGCTGGTGGACATTGGGAAATGTGGACACAGTATATCACCAAAGAGGAGGAAAAAATTCCAGCTGGTGCAAAGGTATAAAGAGAAGCATTGGCCATGGAACTTTGGTTTCCAGCATTATCCAAATATTCTCTCAGGTGGAAGAATTAAGTCTTTGCAAGGAGTTTTAAGAGCTTTCTTTAGAAAAATATTTAAACATGAGCTGCACTGGACCTTCAAAAATATGGGCTTTAGAATCAGAGAGACACAGCATCCTTTCTCGGCTTCAATTTACTCACCCAAAAAATGGCGGTGCGGGGAACATTTATGGTTGCAGAGGTTGGAGGTGTTATACATGAACACATGGCACACACTAGGGGTTACATCAGTGTTTGTTGCTATTCTGATTATTGTCATTATCAATAATACCAGGTACTGGCCGGGCGTGGTGGCTCACACCTGTAATCCCAGCACTTTGGGAGGCCAGGGCAGGAGGATCACCTGAAGTCAGGAGTGCAAGACCAGCCTGGCCAACATGGTGAAACCCCATCTCTACTAAAAATACAAAATTAGCTGGGCGTGGTGGCACACGCCTATAATCCCAGCTACTTGGGAGGCTGAGGCAGGAGAATTGCTTGAACTCCAGAGGCAGAGGTTTCAGTGAGCCGAGATTGCGCCATTGCACTTCAGCCTGGGGGACAAGAGCTAAACTCTGTCTCAAATAATAATAATAATAGTAATAATAATACCAGAGAGTCATCAGTGTGCTTCTTAGTGATCTCAGCAAAAAAGGATTCTTCGAATCCTCAGAGAAAGATTTTCTTGATCAGAATTCTCTGAAAAGTAGGTTCTGATTAATAAGTTTTCTGATTGGAAAATGATTCACCTACAACTCCTGCTCTTTTCAATCCTTGTGGAATATCTTTTCAGAGAGTTTTTATGTCCCTGTTAGTAGAATCTAGTGGGCATAGTTTATCTTTCTGAAGTGACTGGAGATTGTTCAGGCCCTGCGTGGAGTGGTAGGTGGTGGACAAAGTACAGATATTGACAGCCAAATCAGACACCAAGCAGGACCACAGCTGTATGTGTAAGGATGTGTCAGGCAGGGTGAATGTGTGCTGACTTCAGGACACACCTTGGGGGCTGAGTGTTGTAAAGCAACCCCCAGCACTGAGGTCCTAAAATTTAATTCTCCAAAAAGAGCTTAGTCACTTGAGCTCCAGGGATTTACAATCTTGCTGAATTAATTCAAGTAAAAGAGTCCAATGAAGAAAATATCTTCAGTTCTGGAGATTTTTCCCTTGTCAAACAATTGTCCTAGTTCCTGAAAATAAACATCTATGAAACCCAACTTGCTTTAACTTCCCAGTCTTGGTAGCAAAATGGGCATCTTGAATCTAGGTCTGCATTCAGCATCACTTGCTGGCTATATGGCTTTGGATAAGTTAGCCAGTTTCTTTGAGCTTCCATTATTTCATCTGTGTTATTACATACCTGCCTTAGAAGGTTACTGGGAAGACTGTAGAGGGTAATACAGGCAAAACACCCATAGTTAAGCACCTGTTACTTCTCTTCTTCTTAACTTTAATTCCCTTGTCTCATCTGTTTCTTTTCCTTTGATCAAATTACTTGCAGAAAGAAGCTGAGCCTTTGTCTACCAGTATATATGGGGCCGCCATGTTGCACAGACCTAGGTGATGCCATTTGCATCATGGTCCAGTTTTGCTTTAGGAGGTGCCATTGACATGATCCATAGTGTGAATGGTACTGTGTTGTGGTTGTACAACACAGTGGCCCCAAGTTCTAGTCCCTTTCAGCCTAGACATAGAAGGAGACTTCAGTGTATGATATAATTTTCCTGCCTCTTCCCCTTCACCCACAGAGGGACCAAATGTAGCCAAATGGCTGATGAAAGGGTTCAAGCTCAGAGAATCCAAACCAAGGTCAGGTGTCCTGTCCAAATAGGGATTCCAGGAGCCTGAGACCAGGCCTTAAGAGTCCAACTGGGACCTGAATACCAGGAAGAGTATGTATTAATACAATCCCCGTATTGGAAAAGGCATGGGATTAGTAGGGGTGGGTCTTTTAACCAAGGATGTAAGTGTTGTAAAAAACAAATCAGAAACAAGCACAGATCATGGGGATTCAGGATCACACTTACACCCTCTGAGCCAGGCAGTGACGATGGCATAGGGGAAGTCGACCTCGCCTGGGACAAGGGAGACAAGCTGGTTCAGAGCAATGCTCTAGGAGCATAGCAGCTATGGACCTATCCTTACCATAACTGTTTGTAATATGACCATTCAGTAGTGAAGACTGTAGACTTTGGAATCACACAAGCTGGGATTCAACTCCCTGCATTTTCACTTACTGTGTTACTTGGGCAAGTTGCAGAAAGGCTCTCGACCTCAGTCTTCTCATCTACAACACACAGACGGTAATGCCTAACTTTACATGCATGATCTTGTTTAATCCTCAAGCCACCTCTGTGAATTAGGTGCCATTATTATCCCCATTTTACAGATGAAGAAACTGAGGCCTGTGGAGAGGTTAAAGACTCGCCTAAGGTCATAAAGATAGTAAGGGATGGAGCTAGAATGTAAACCCAGGTCTCTTAAACGCCAAGACCCCCAGCTTCCTGGGCCCAGGACCAAGACTCTCCCATGTCTGTGTGGTACAGGTCTCAGAACTCATCATCCCCACAATGGAGACAGCCCGGCAGTCCTTCTTCTTGAAAACCTACTTAGACCATGAGATTCCAACGCTGTTTGTGGGCCCCACAGGCACTGGCAAGTCAGCCATCACCAACAACTTCCTTCTCCACCTTCCCAAGAATATGTACCTGCCCAACTGCCTCAATTTCTCTGCCAGAACCTCAGCCAATCAGACCCAGGATATCATCATGTCCAAGCTGGATCGACGACGGAAGGGCCTTTTCGGGCCTCCCATAGGGAAGAAAGCAGTGGTGTTTGTGGGTAAGGCATTGAGCTGGGTCTGGACACAACCAGATTCTTCCACCATAAGCTGCAACAAACTACAGCTTCCGCTTGTAGTGCCACTGTAAATGCCTTACTCTTCCTGGGAGATCAAATATTTCTGGTTAATGTAGTTTAGTATTCATTCCCTCCTCTTCCTTTTCTTCTTCCTCCTTCCCTCCCTCCTTTCCTTCTTCCCTCCTTCCCTCCTTCCTTCCTTCCTTCTTTCTTACCTTCCTTTCTTCCTTTCCTTCCTTTCTTCCTTTCTTCCTCATAGTGAGTAGTAATTTCAGAAGGGGACTGTGCTGTTTGCCTGCTGGCATTTCCAAAAGCAACACACACCTTGTGATAAACCCCTTGTTCCATTTTATGTCAGATAAATGTCCTATCACTAAATGGAGAAACCTAATACTTGCTAAATAAACATTTGCGAAATAAGCACAGTGAATTTTCCCAGGACTTTAACTGTTTTACAAAGCATTTCCTCATTTAGGTCACTTGAGCCCCACAGCCCTGTGGGCTTATTAACCATCATTGTCATTTTACGAGTCAGTGCATTGAGGCTCCAGAAGGTTAAATTTCCTGTTTGGGATCAAATATCTAGAACATTCTAGAGCTGTGACCCAAACCCAGGCTTTTTAGTGCCAAATACATTATATTTTCCACTATCTTACTGTTGACACATAGAGTTCTCATTTAGCAATAGTAATGCCCCACACTTCTGGATTATTTCATGATCTGCCTTTAAAACTCATGTATTCAGAGGAAATATTGCCTGAGTTCATATCCTTGCCAGCTAACAGCTCCTCTGAGGCAGGGGTCCTATTTTATTTTACATTCCTTTTCTTTTTCTCCTTTTCTCCATCTCGCTCTCCCTTCCTATTTTTATGGTATATTCAAAAACAGGGTAAGCGTTGCAGCCAAACAGATCTAGTTTCAAATCTTACTTTTTTGAGAGAGGGAAGATCTCACTCTGTCATCCAGGCTGGAGTGCAGAGGCACAATCCCAGCTCACTGCAGCCTCCAACTCCTGGGCCCAAGTGATCCTACTACCTCAGCCTCCCACGTAGCTAGGACTACAGGCACATGCCATCAATCTTGGCTAATTTTTCTATTCTTTGTAGAGACGGGGGTCTCGCTTTGTTACCCAGGCTGGGTGAACTCCTGGCCTCAAGTGATCCTCCCCGCTTGGCCTCCCAAAGTGTTTGGATTACAGGCATGAACCACCATGCCCAACTTCAAAGCTTACTTTTTAGCCCTAGGTATATTGTGACTTAACGTCCCTGACCCTCAGTTCCTCACCTTTAACATAGAGTTATACTCTCTTCCTTATAAAGTTAGTATTGGATTAGATGAAATAATATATATAAAGCTCCTAAAATGTTACCCTACACAAACTGGGTATTCAAACAGTATTTGTTGAAGAAAAACTTAAAGAGCCCCTATTTTATTGAGTGCCTCTGATGTGCCAGGACTGAGTAATATGCTATTGGGGAAAATGCAGTCCCTGCCCTTGGGGAAGTCTTAATATATTCTTCCATTTGGGTTTTCTCATCAAAATCCCCCGCTCAGGCTGGGCACGGTGGCTCATGCCTGTAATCCCAGCATTTTGGGAGGCCGAGGCAGGTGGATCACTTGAGGTCAGGATTTTGAGACCAGCCTGGCCAGCATGGTGAAACCCCATCTCTACTAAAAATACAAAAATTAGCTGGGCGTAGTGGCGTGTGCCTGTAATCCGAGCTACTTGGGAGGCTGAGGCAGGAGAATCACTGGAACCCGGGAGACGGAGTTTGCAGTGAGCCAAGATCGCACCACTGCACTCCAGCCTGGGTGACAGAGCAAGACTCTGTCTCAAAAACAAAAACAAAATAAACAAACGAACAAACCCAGCTCAAAGCCTAGGGTCTCATCATCTGTTGTTCCCCTTGAAGTTCAACTATTACCTGTTGGTCAAATTAAATACTCTATTGGCTGTGAGCTTGTGGGAGCTTGATTGTTGCCATCATATGGGGAGCAATTAACAAAATTTCTAGCACTTCGTAGACAATCTATTTTGCTTAAGAGAAATGGGAAAAAAATTAAATGCCTGTTTTCTTTTTGTTTTTCGTTTCTTTTTTCTTTTTGAGGCAGGATCTCACTCTGTTGCCCAGGCTGGAGTGCAGTGGCACAATCTTGGCTCACTACAACCTTTGCCTCCAAGGCTCAAACAATCCTCCCACCTTAGCCTCCTGAGTATGGGACCACAGGCATGAGCCACCACGCCTGGCTAATTTTTTTTTTTTTTTTTTTTTGTAGAGACAGGGTTTCGCCATGTTGCCCAGGCTGGTCTCAAACTCCTGAGCTCAAGCGATCTGCCTGCCTCAGCCTCCCACAGTGCTGGGATTATAGGCATGAGCCACCACGCCTGGCCAAGCCAGTTTGTTAATGTCAGTCTATGCATCCTTATAGTCACAGTGGACACAGATTTCAATGAGGCAGGAGAGGCCAGAACTCAGGAAAACCCCTCCCAATCTGGTCAGGGCATCCACTGACTAAGCCCTCACTGGAATGGGGAATGGAAACCTGGGAACAGATTCCCCTACAGGGGAATTGCCATCTCTTACCTGCTGTGAGAACAGAGGATGCCATGAACTTGCAATGACTGTGTCTGTGGCTTCTTTCCCCAGATGACCTCAACATGCCAGCCAAAGAGGTGTATGGGGCCCAGCCCCCCATCGAGCTCCTGAGGCAGTGGATTGACCACGGTTACTGGTTTGACAAGAAAGACACAACCAGGCTGGACATCGTGGACATGCTGCTCGTGACAGCCATGGGGCCCCCCGGGGGAGGAAGGAATGACATTACTGGTATGTGAAGGAAAGAGCTCATTCCTCTTTCCCTCTATCCCCAGCAGAGCTGGGCCACCTTTATGAAAGGAGGGTCGGTGTGCCACAGTCTCCTGCCAAACCACATGGCCGGAGCGTGGAGCAGAAGCGTGTTTAGGCTATAGGCTTCATGTTGGAAATGGTGTGAAATAGGAGGGGACGATGACAAGAAGATGTGAGGAGTGTTTGGCTAGGCCCTAGAGAAACAGAGTCTCATATGCAAAGTAGAGTTCAGTGTGGCCAGCATGTGTTCTGGGAGGGAGGCTTGATCCAGAAGCCTCAACTAGGGGTGCACGACAGTCATCCATTGTATTCGTTATAATTCTTTAGGTTGCCAGAGACAGAACACCTAACCCAAAATGCCCTAAGCAAAATTAATAACAATAAAAAATAGCAAATAAATGAATCAATGGATATATTGCTTCACCTGTAACTTGATCCACCTAGTCCTGTAGATCTGTACTTCTATTCTGATATACATTATTGTTTAAGAACCTTCATACCGAGTGGGCGCAGTGGCTCGTGCCTGTAATCTCAGCACTTTGGGAGGCTGAAGCGGGTAGATCGCTTGAGGCCAGGAGTTCGAGACCACCCTGGCCAACATAGTAAAACCCCATCTCTACTAAAAATAAAAAAATTAGCTGGGCTTGGTGGCTTGCGCCTGTAGTCCCAGCTACTCGGGAGGCTGAGATTTTTAAAATACAAAAATAAAGACATGTTACAACATGGATGAAACTTAAAGACACTATTGTCTTTAAGTGAAATAAACCATATCATTAAGTGAAATAAACCATTCACAAAAAGACAAATATTGTGTGATTCCACTTATATGAGGTACTCAAAGTAGTCAAATTGATAGAGACAAGAAGCAGAATAGTGGTTGTCAAGGTCTGGAGGGAGGGGAGATTGAGGAGTGAATGAATGAATGAATTAATTAATTAATTTTCATTTGGGAATATGAAGCTTCTGTAGATGAATGGTGGAGATGGTTGCACAACAACGTGAATGTGCTTGATGCCTCTGAACTGTACACTTACAAATGGTTAAAATGGCCAATTTTATGTTGTATATATTTTATCACAATAAAAACTTTTTATTTTTTTATTTAATTAATTAATTTATTTTTTGAGACAGAGTCTCGCTCTTGTCGCCCAGGCTGGAGTGCAATGGCATGATCTCGGCTCACTGCAACCTTTGCCTCCGGGTTTGAGTGATTGTCCTACCTCAGTTCCCTAAGTAGCTGGGATTACAGGCACCCGCCACCATGCCCGACTAATTTTATGTATTTTTAGTAGAGATGAGATTTCATCCTGTTGGCCAGGCTAGTCTCGAACTCTGGACCTCAGGTGATCCACCCACCTCGGCCTCCCAAAGTACTGGGATTACAGGCATGAGCCACTGCGCCAGGCCAAAGGGATGAAATCTGAAACCCAACAAGTCTCTGGATCCAGCTACGAATTTGTAGGAAATACAGAGGACAGAGGAACATGATGAACTGCATCATAAGTGTGTAATCAACAAAATCCTGACTATGAAAACTCTAAGTCAAATAGCCCAGATCTTCAACAGATAAGACACATAAGAAAGGAATGGAGGGAAAAACCTATAAATTAAAGAGAGACCTTAAAAAATACACATGAGGCCGGGCGCAGAGGCTCACATCTGTAATCCTAGCACTTTGGGAGGCTGAGGCGGGTGAATCACCTGAGGTCAGGAGTTTGAGACCAGCCTGGCCAATATGGCAAAACCCCATCTCTACTAAAAATACAAAAATTAGCTGGGCGTGGTGGTGCATGCCTGTAATCCCAGCTACTTGGGGTTGAGGAAGGAGAATTGCTTGAACCAAGGAGATGGAGGTTGCAGTGAGCCGAGATCGCGCCACTACACTCTAGACTGTGCAATAGGAGTGAGACTCCATCTCAGGGGAAAAAAAAAAAAAAAAGCATATGGTTAACTGGCAGAATTAAACAATTAAACCCTGGTGTCTACAAATAAATGCTTGAAATGCTTGGATGGTAAAAACCATGAAGAAATGCAAGACAGCAATTACTGTAAAAGTCAGAAGAGTGATAACTTTTGGAGGAAGAAAAGGAGAGAGTTTGATTGGGATGGGCTCTGTTGAGAGGCTTTTGTGGAGGGCTGGCAAAATTCTATTTTGTTTTTGTTTTGTTTGTCTGTTTGTTTTGAGATGGAGTCTTGTTCTGTCGCTCAGGCTGGAGTGCAGTGGCACAATCTCGGCTCACTGCAACCTCCGCCTCCTGGGTTCAAGCAATTCTTCTGCCTCAACCTCCCGAGTAGTTGGGACTATGGGCATGTGCCACCACGCCTGGCTAATTTTTGTATTTTTAGTAGAGACGGGGTTTCGCTATGTTGGCCAGGCTGGTCTCAGTCTCTTGACCTCGTGATCTACCCGCCTTGGCCTCCCAAAGTGCTGGGATTACAGGAGTGAGCCACCACGCCCGGCTGGCAAAATTCTGTTTCTTAATCTTGACAGTAGATGCTAAGAGTATTAACCTTATAATGACTTGCTAAACTATACATTTGTTTTGTGTGGTTTTCTGTATCTATCTTTTACTTGTAACAAAAAAAATGTTTTAAAGATATACAGGCAAACCTATAGAGACAGAAAGTAGATTATTAGTTGCTGAGAACCATGGGAAAATGGGGAGTGACTGCTAATGGGTACAAGGTTTCTTTTTAGCGCAATTAAAATGTTCTAAAATTGTGATAATGGTTGCACAACCCTGAATATATTAAAAATCATTGAATAATTGTACTTTAAATGGGCGAATTGTACAATATGTGAGTTATTATTGGGATATCAATAAAGCTGGTATATATTGATATAAATAAGTACGTAAATATAGATATCTAACAATGATAGATTAGACAGATAGATGCATAGATATATAGATACATAGAAAGATGATTGATAGATTAGATAGATAGATGATATAAGGATACCAAATTAATAGTAGTTACCTTGGGCAGGGGAGAATGGATTTGGCGCATATAAAGTAAGTGAAAGAAGGAGATTTTCACTTTCAACAAAAGTATTCCTGAATCGTGACTCTTTTACAATGATCATGTATTGCCTTTATCTTTTAAAAACAATCTTGAGGCTGGGTGCAGTGTCTCATGCCTGCAATCCCAGCACTTTGGGAGGCCGAGGCCGGGGCCGGCAGATCACCTGAAGTCAGGAGTTTGAGACCAGCCTGGCCAACGTGATGAAACCCCGTCTCTACTAAAAATACAAAAATTAGATGGGCATGGTGGCACGCACCTGTAGTCCCAGCTACTCCGGAGGCTGAGGCTGGAGAATCGCTTGAGCCCGGGAGGCAGAGGTTTCAGTGAGCTGAGATGGCACCACTGCACTCCAGCCAGGGCAACAAAGGGAGACTCCATCCCTAAAAAAAATATATAATATAATATAATGTAATGTAATATAATATAATAATCTTGAACGCTAAACTAGCACAGTCAGTAGAACTTCTGCAGTATGGCGATGCTCTATATCTGTACTGAGAAATACAGTAGCCACTAGCCACATGTGGCTCTTGAGCACTTGAAGTGTGGCGAGACTAAGGAAGAGCATTTTTAATGTTATTTAATATTAATTAATTTAAGTTTAAATTGCTGCAGGTGACTAGAAGCTGCCATATTGCACAGCACAGCTCTAGAACATGAAGCCAGAAGGCTAAGCCAACTCTCCTGCATCCTAGGGTCACAGACAGTGTGAGAATATGTGTTTTCCAGGATGATTCACTTGTGCGTTGTGTCCCCCAGGACGATTCACTCGCCATATGAATATCGTTTCCATCAATGCCTTTGAGGATGACATTTTAACCAAGATTTTCAGTTCGATTGTTGACTGGCACTTCGGGAAAGGGTTTGATGTGATGTTCTTAAGGTAAGAGGTTCCCACGTCTTCCCGGATATTGGGCTGGGGGTTCTCAGTTTCCGGCCCCTCCTTGAATACTGTGCCATCCCTTTCCTCCCAAGGTATGGAAAGATGCTGGTCCAAGCTACTAAGACAATTTATAGAGAGGCAGTGGAGAACTTCTTGCCAACTCCCTCTAAGTCACATTACGTCTTTAACCTGCGGGACTTCTCACGAGTGATTCAAGGGGTCCTGCTGTGCCCTCACACACACCTGCAGGTCAGTCACTATCATTTGACTACCAAAATCATTCAGCATGTCCTTGGCTACATGGAACATGTAGTAATAGCAGTAATAGCTAACTTTTATTAAGCACTTCATCTATGCTAGGCGTTGTGCTAAACATTTTATAAACATTATCTAGTTCAATCCTCACATCAACCCCAGGACTTAGCTACTACTTGAGAACTACGACCTCAGGGACCATCTTCCACTCGTTTGAATAATTAACTCTGGATTTTTAGGATGTAGAAAAATGTATCCGACTTTGGATCCATGAGGTTTATCGGGTCTTCTATGACCGTCTGATTGACAAGGAGGACAGAGAGGTCTTCTTCAACATGGTGAAGGAAACCACCTCCAATTGCTTCAAGCAGTCCATAGAGAAGGTAAATCAGATTCTGTGATCATTTGGCCTCAGAAATGGTTCCAAGTGTTTAACTATGTTACTCTCAGATTTCAGGTTCCCTTCCTGTTGGAGACTCCCAGCTCTGCACTCTGAATCTCAGGAAACAGTATTGAGTCAACTGCTCTTTTGATTTGGTGATATTTCACTCGGTCCAACATTGCTTCCCTTCTGTTGTAACATATAAGTTTGAATCCAATCAAAATGGCTTAACATTTACAATAACATTATTTGTTTATAATGACCTTAAATGCATTTTTAGGATCAATTAATTGGTGACTTGAGAAATGAACTGTATTATACATTGTCATGATTTGACTGAGGTCCTATAAAGCCCAAGTGGAAGATTGTTATGGTCTTCCAGGTGCGAATATTTTCTCTTTTCCATTTTCATATAAGAAAAGTTGTTTTAAACATCTATATTTGCATCATCTGGTTATTCTTCCACTGCTAAGAAGCTGTGATTTCTCCATAGAAAAATTTCAAGTGTTTCATCTTGCGTTCAGAGGCCAAGTGCAAAAGCGTCACTGGGTTCTAACATAGGAAGAGGAGGCATCTAAAACATTCCTACTTCAGGCACAGAGTGGGGAACAGGGGTAGTGTCTATACCTCTAGTTGGTGGAGGATCAAGCACATAAGAAATGATGCCATCCTTCAACTGTCTTTTCTGGGGACCATACAAACTGACTACCAATGTTTTAATCACTTGGTAAATAGACTGATTCAAGCGTTTATACTCTAATGTCCTTTCTTTTAACAAATAATTATTTATTTTTAGAGGTAGGACCTCATTCTGTCACCCAGGCTGGAGTGCAATGGTATGATCATAGCTCAGTGCAGCCTCAAACTCCTGGGCTCAAGCAGTCCTCCACCTCAGCCTCCTGAGTAGCAGGGATTACAGGTGTGCACCATGATGCCCAGCTAATTTTTTCTTACTTTATTGTAGAGACTGGGTCTCACTATGTTGCCCAGGCTGGTCTTGAAGTCCTGAGCTCAAATGATCCTTCTGCCTCAGCCTCTCAAAGTGCTCAGGCATGAGCCACCATGCGCAGCAATGTTCTTTCATTATAGTCTTTACAAGCATGAAATCCACACATTATGTTTAAAACACAAAAAGACTGGGCTGGGCATGCTCTCTCATGCCTGTAATCCTAGCACTTTGGGAGGACGAGCTGGGCAGATCACCTGAGCTCAGGAGTTCAAGACCAGCCTGGCCAACATGATGAAACCCCATCTCTACAAAAATACAAAAATTAGCCAGGCATGATGGAGCGTGCCTGTAATCCCAGCTGCTTGGGAGGCTGAGGCAGGAGAATCGCTTGAACCCAGGAGGCAGAGGTTGCAGTGAGCCGAGATTGCGCCATTGCACTCCAGCCTGGACGACAGTGTGAGACTCCGTCTCAAAACAAAACAAAACAAAACAAAGACTGATGATCCATGGGCTTGAAGGATGTGCGCAGAGGAAATAAGCACGTCTCCCATGCCCTCCCTCCATGCTCTCCCTACCAGCCTGGCTGGGCCATTCGCTGAATGCCCAGCTGAGATTTACTTTTCTCACAGGTGCTTATCCATTTGTCACCCACTGGAAAGATTGTCGATGATAACATTCGAAGCCTCTTTTTTGGAGATTATTTCAAGCCAGAAAGTGATAAAAAAATCTACGATGAGATCACTGACCTGAAACAGCTGACTGTGGTCATGGAGCACTATCTGGAAGAATTCAACAACATCAGCAAGGCCCCCATGTCCCTGGTCATGTTCAGGTTTGCCATTGAGCACATCTCCAGGATCTGCCGCGTCCTGAAGCAGGACAAAGGCCACCTGCTCCTGGTGGGCATAGGGGGCAGTGGGCGGCAGAGTGCCACCAGACTGTCCACATTCATGAACACATATGAGCTATACCAGATCGAGATCACCAAGAACTACACAGGCAATGACTGGCGAGAAGACCTTAAGAAGATCATGCTGCAGGTTGGCGTGGCCACCAAAAGCACCGTGTTCCTCTTTGCCGACAATCAGATCAAGGACGAGTCATTTGTGGAGGACATCAACATGCTTCTGAACACAGGCGATGTGCCTAACATCTTCCCTGCTGATGAGAAGGCTGACATCGTCGAGAAGATGCAGACGGCAGCCAGGACCCAAGGAGAGAAGGTTGAAGCCACTCCTCTTTCTATGTATAACTTCTTTATTGAGAGGGTGAGAAAGAACCTTCACATTGTCCTTGGTAAGAAGAAGAAAACTCCATTTGCCCTTGTTCCTCTGGGTGTTTTGGGGTCTTCCGAGTGCCCTGAGCAACGCAATCCCTTACAGTGGTCCCAGGGTTGATCCAGCCAATGCACCAGCTCGGGGTCAGGGCCTGGAGTTCCTCTGGCAACTTTTTCCTCTCTTCCAAACAGCATTTTTTTTAAGAGACAGTCTTGCTCTGTCGCCCAGGCTGGAGTGCAGTGGTGAGATCTCAGCTCGCTGTATGTAACCTCTGCCTCCCAGTTTCAAGCGATTCTGGTGCCTAAGCCCCCGGAGTAGCTGCTATTACAGGCGCGTGCCACACCTGCTAATTTTTGTATTTTTAATAGAGAGAGGGTTTCACCATGTTGGCCAGGCTAGTCTCAAACTCCTGGCCTCAAGTGATCTGCCCACCTTGGCCTCCCGAAGTGCTGGGATTACAGGCATAAGCCACCATGCCGGACCCTGAACAATTTCAAACCTGTCCCTCTCTCTTCAATTCCCTGAATTCTCCTCTGAGAATTACCCTTGCACAGAATGACATCTGGGGTTTTCTCTGTGAATGACATTCGCAATCTATCTGGAAACCTAGCAATGGTGTTTAGTACTTCCCTTTCTTTACCAAGTCCTGTCTATTTTACCTCCAGTTGTCTCTCTTATCTCTATCTCCATCACCTTCACATTAGCTAGGCTGCTGTCCTCTTACCCAGGCTCACCTCTGCAACTTTCTGATCATTCTAGCTCCATTCTTGTCTGTTCCATGAAGCCAGGCTGATTTTTTTCATATGCTGCAAATATCATTGTGTTCATGCATGCACACACACACACACATTGGGATAAGGGCCAAAATTACTAACCTGCAGTCCTGCAGTCTCATAGGGCCATAAAGGCCACCTGCCAGACTGTCCTCTGTATCCTCTCCACCTTCATCATTTCAAACCATCCCCCTATCTCTTTGTTCTTTTTTTTTTTTTTTTTTTTGAGATAGGGTCTTGCTCTGTCACCCAGGCTGGAGTGTAGTGATGTGGTTCTAGCTCACTGCAGCCTCAACTTCCTGGGCTCAAGTGATTCTCTCACCTCAGCCTCCTGAGTACCTGGGACTACAGGCACATACCACCAAGCCCAGCTAATTTTTTCCATTTTTGTAGAGACAGGGGTGTGGGGTTCACTTTGTTGCCCAGGCTGGTCTCAAACTCCTGGGCTCAAATGATCCTCCTGCCTCAGCCTCCCAAAGTGTTGGGATTACAGGCGTGAGCCACTGTGCCAGGCCTCTGTTCTTTACCCTCACTGACCTTTCACTTCACCTAGACATCATGCTCCCTTCCGCCACACATCGTCTAAATAAACAATGAATGGAATTGTAAGTGTGGAACCCAAAATTTGTGATTGGCTGGAGATAGGATCAGAAACAGATGACCTCACAGCAACTTCTATAAGTAACAGTGTATGGCTCCCGTATGTCAGCACAAATACAGCAAGTGGGTCAAAGGGCTCCGGCCACTCTGGCTACACGACCCAAAGGATGCAGAAGGAACAATAGGGTGTATAGGAGACCAGTTAGAAGGTAATAGACTCAGGCATGGTGGCTCACGCCTGTAATCCCAGCACTTTGGGAGGCTGAGGCAGGCAGATCACTTGAGGTCAGGAGTTTGAGACCAGCCTGGCCAACATGGTGAAACCCCGTCTCTACTAAAAATACAAAAATTAGCTGGAAGTGATGGTGGGTGCCTATAGTCCCAGCTACTCAGGAGGCTGAGGCAGGAGAATAGCTTGAACCCGGGAGGCGGAGGTTGCAGTGAGCCGAGATCACACCACTGCACTCCAGTCTGGGTGACAGAGCAAGAATCTGTCTTAATAAAAAATAAGAACAATTTTTTTTTTTTAAAAAAGGCTATTGTAATGGGCTGATAGCTCCTCACAAAGTTAAGTGAAAATATCCCACTAATTAGCCCACACTTCCCAGGCAGTTATTATGAGCATTCACAGTCACATCCCTGGAGCGCCAAGAGGATGCATGCCCCTACTTACCCCACCAGAATCCTTGGGAATACCAGCCTGCCTCCTTGGGTCCACCTGCCTCAGAGGGAGGTAATTAACAAAATCTCCTTTTCATTAGCCATGAGTCCAATTGGGGATGCCTTCAGGAACCGCCTGCGGATGTTCCCTTCGCTGATCAATTGCTGTACGATTGATTGGTTCCAGTCGTGGCCCAGGGATGCCCTAGAGTTAGTGGCTAACAAATTTCTAGAGGATGTGGAGCTTGATGACAACATTCGGATAGAGTAAGTGTTGACTGCATTTTAGGACTCCAGATATTCCAAATTGGAAGGCCAGATGCTGGCTCTATTTTTGTCGTTGTTTTGAAGATTTCTCAATTTGTGTATAGAAAATGTCTTATGCTTTTAAATTGAATCACAGTTATATATTTAATAAAACATCTTCTGTGAAAAAGAAGCAAATTTCATTGTTCAGAATTGTCCTGGAGATATGCACTGTTGTCCTAGCTGTGAGAACCTGGAAATAATGATACAGCTATTTCAGTAGTCCTAGAATATGCATTCTCAACGGGAAGAACATTGCTGCTGAGACCACAAAAAAAGATGGTTGGTTTGTTTGTTTCTGAGATGGAGTCTTGCTCTATCCCCCAGGTTGGACTGTAGTGGCGCAATCTCAGCTCACTGCAACCTCCGCCTCCCGGATTCAAGTGATTCTCATGCCTCAGCCTCCCCCAAGCAGCTGGGATTACCGGGCACCTGCCACCACACCCAGCTAATTTTTATATTTTTACTAGATACGGGGTTTTGCCATGTTGGCCAGGGTGGTCTTGAACTCCTGACCTCAGGTGATCTGCCCGCCTTGGCCTCCCAAAGTGCTGGGAATATAGGTGTGAGCTACTGTGCCCGGCAAAAATTAGTTCCTATAAGGGTGAAAACTTACTTGTTTATGTATAAGGCATATATATATGTGTGCTTTATCATATATATTATATATATGTGCTTTATACACTTTATGTGTGTGTGTGTGTGTATATATGTATATGTATATAAAGCATTTTATTTGCATAGAGTAAGGGAAGAGATGAGAATATCTATCATTCTGGATGTTCCATGAAGGCTAGAAATCAGTCAACCTTGTCTAACTCTGTATCCTTAGTTTCTAGAAGGTGCTTGGCACATAGTAGGTTCAATCACTGTTTATTTTATTTATTTATTTATTTATTTATTTATCTGTTTATTTTGAGATGGAGTCTCGCTGTGTTGCCCAGGCTGGAGTGCAGTGGTGAGATCTCGGCTCATTGCAACCTCTGCCTCCCGGGTTAAAGCGATTCTTGTGACTCAGCCTCCCGAGTAGCTGAAATTACAGGTGTGAGCCTCCACACCCAGCTAATTTTTGGATTTTTAGTGGACACTGGGTTTCACCATGTTGGCCAGGCTGGTCTCAACTGACCTTAAGTGATCTGCCCGCCTCGGCCTCCCAAAGTGCTGGGATTACAGGCGTGAGCCACCCTACCCACCCTCAATCACTGTTTAAATGAATGAATGAAAAATGAGGAAGTCGGCAGGGGTAAGAGTGTCAATGGCCTTCAATTCCATTTGGGGTATTTTGAACTTTATTATCTAGACCAGAAGACCCTTAACCTGGGTCCACGTGCTTGTGGGTAGAACTCAGTGGGTCGATGCATATGAATGGGAAACATTACATCTTCGTTTCCAGTGACATCCAACTGGTACTTTGCATTTCCTCCAGTGATGAATGTAGGCAGTAAACCCCAGTGGGATGAGCAGGGCCTGACTTTGTTACCAGTAGGAATCATAGTTCTTTGCAGAACTCATTCCTTCATTACAGTTAACTCAGTGTATAATTTTCTTCAAATTGATGGTGCTTTTTAGACCTGCTGCCCACTCTTGTTATTTAATGCAGAAGCTGACAAACTAGGGTTCATGGGCCTAGTTCAATTCACCCTGCTTTTGTAAATAAAGCTTTATTGGAACCCTGCCTTGTCCATTGGCTTACACATCATCTGTGGCTGTTTTTGCACTATAATGGCAGAGTTGAGTAGCTGTGACAGATATCATGTGGTCCACAAAGGCTAAAATATTTACTATCTGACCCTTTCCAGAAAACGTTTACTAATCCCTGATTTAATGCCTCAGTAAAGCAGCACATATATTACTATATTACAAATTCTAAATATTTTAAAACATTTCAAAAAGTCTATTTCAATATAATTGGTTTCCATGGTAATTCTGTGTTTTATTTTATGCATTTTTAAAAATTGACTGGGCATGGTGGTTCACACCTGTAATCCCAGCACTTTGGGAGGCCAAGGCGGGTGGATCACTTGAGGTCAGGAGTTCGAGACCAACCTGAGCAACATAGCAACCCCCACCCCCTCCCCCAACTGTGTCTACTAAAAATGCAGAAGATTAGCTGGGTGTAGTGGTGTGCGCCTAAGACTTCAGCTACTCGGGAGGCTGAGGTGGGAGGATCGCTTGAGCCAGGGAGGTTAAGGCTGCAGTGAGCCATGATTGTGCCACTGTACTCCAGCCTGGATGACAGAGTGCAATCTTGTCTCTCTCTCTCTCTCTCTCTCTATATATATATATATACACACATATATATATATATATATATTTTTTTTTTTTCTACAAAGTCAGGGTATTTCTCCAAACTACCAAAGTTTAGGAACTCCTGCTTAAGCCCTGATGATTCATCAAAGGGATCAGTGATAGAAATGACTTGATCAGGGCACAGTGGCTCACACCTGTAATCCCAGCACTTTGGGAGGCCGAGGCAGGTGGATCATCTGAAGTCAGGAGTTCGAGACCAGCCTGGCCAACATGGTGAAACCTCGTCTCTACTAAAAATACAAAAATTAGCCAGGCGTGGTGGTACGCACCTGTAATCCCAGCTACTTGGGAGGCTGAGGCAGGAGAATCTCTTGAACCTGGGAGGTGGAGGTTGCAGTGAACTGAGATCGTGCTACTGCACTCCAGCCTGGGCAAAAGGGTGAAACTCTGTCTCAAAAAAAAAAAAAAAAAAATTAGAAATGACTTGATCAAAGATCATTTGAGGTCAGGCGTGGTGGCTCATGCCTGTAATCCCAGCACTTTGGGAGGCGAAGGTGGGTGGATCACCTGAGGCCAGGAGTTTAAGACTAGCCTGACCAACATGGTAAAACCCCGCCTCTACTAAAAATACAAAAATTAGTTGGGTATGGTGGCGCACACCTGTAATCCCAGCTACTTGGGAGGCTGAAGCAGGAAAATCACTTGAGCCTGGGAGGCAGAGGTTGCAGTGAGCTGAGATCGCGCCACTGCACTCCAGCCTGGGTGTCAGAGAGAGACACTGTCTCAAAAAATAAATAAATAAATAAATAAATAAACAATCATTTGTGTGAGAGTATGCACCTGTGCACCTGCCCCATCCTTCTCTGCCTTGGCTCTGTTGACGTGTCTTCAGAGAGTTTGGATTCTAGTGGATCATCGTCAGTGTATGTGTCTTCTCACACCCTCATGTCTATAACCAAAGCTGTACTGGATCTCCCTGGAGGACGTTCGGTCCTGCCTAACCGCCTTGGTGTCCTCGGCAGGGTCGTCTCCATGTGCAAATATTTCCAAGAGAGCGTCAAGAAGCTGTCACTTGATTATTACAACAAACTTCGAAGACACAACTATGTTACCCCCACCTCCTACCTCGAATTGATTCTAACCTTCAAGACGCTCCTGAATAGCAAGAGGCAAGAGGTGGCTATGATGAGGAACCGCTACCTGACAGGCTTGCAGAAACTCGACTTTGCAGCTTCACAGGTGAGCACTGCCAAAATAGAACAGAGATGGAGAGGCTGGGGACGAGGTGGATGTGCCGAGGCATATGTTCAGGTGCAGAATTAAGAGGACACCAAATCAAGCAGAATGTGACCCTGCATTGGCAGAGCTTACCTTACCTACATCACTGTAATTCCTGCCCTGTGGGATCCTGTCTTTAAGATTTTGATCTTTTGTTCATCATGGGTTTTTGCATTAATTTTGGTTTCTTAACCTATTGCAATAATGTATTATTTATCTTGAGTACTTTCTTTTTAATGCCCCCTTAAGTTTTGTACTCAAGGTGAGTGCTTCCCTTGTCTCACCTTGTGAGGACATAGGCAGGATAAGGCAGTGAATGGTTCAAGATATCTTTATGGAGTCAGATCTGGGCCCAAATTTATCTCTACAGCATACCAGCTGTAGAGCCAGGGGCATGTTATTTCACTTCCTCGAGCCTCAGATTCCTCTTCTATAAAAAGGTGAAGGCCCAGTGCAGTGGCTCACGCCTCCCAGCATTTGGGAGGTCAAAGTGGGAGGATCACTTGAGGCCAGGAGATTGCTTGAGACCAGCCTGGGAAACATAGCAAGACCCCATCTCTACAAAAAATAAAATAAAATAAAATTAGCCAAGTGTAGTGGCATGTGCCTGTAGTCCCAGCTACTTGGGAGGCTGAGGTGGGAGGATCACTTGAGCCCAGGAGTTCAAGGCTATAGTGAGCTATGATCATACCACTGCACTCCAACCGGGATAACAGAGTGAGACCTTGTCTCTTTATTTTATTATTTCTTTTGAGACGAAGTCTCGCTCTGTCACCGAGGCTGGAATACAGTGGCGCAATCTCAGCTCTCTGCAACCTCCACCTCCTGAGTTCAAGTGATCCTCCTGTCTCAGCATCCCAAATAGCTGGTACTACAGGTGCGTGCTACCATGCCCAGCTAATTTGTGTATTTTTAGTAGAAGCGAGGTTTTGCCATGTTGGCCAGGCTAGTCTCAAACTCTGACCTCAGGTGATCTGCCCATCTCGGCCTCCCAAAGTACTGGGATTACAGGCATGAGCCACTGAGCCCAGCCTAATGGGTTTAATTGTCTGAAAAATGGCACAAGCTCCATGAGAGGTGGTGAGCTTCCCATTATTAGAGGAGTTCAGAGACCAGAAAACTACTTGGCAGGAATGTTTTATAGAGCATCAGACTGTTTGTCTGATGTGTGTGAAGAAAGTCTTGTTATCATCTCCATGTGATACACAAAGAAACCAGGACACAGAGAGGCCAGGTGACTCGCCCATGATCACACAGCCTGGCGAGTGGTCAGGCCAGAACTGAAACTTAGATCTGCATGACTCCAAAACCTGTGTTCCTAACCAGGTCAGCCTGCCATGCTTCTGGTCTCACACAGACTCACTGGGGGCATTGGGTACAAGGTCAAGAAAACTCTCTCCAAATACATGAAACACAACCCTGTTTGTCTGAGCTGCCTTAAAAGGCAGAATCAGGACCAGTGAGTGAAACTTCAGGGGGGTAAATTCTAGCTCTGCATCAAGAAGGATGTGCCGAGGCATATGTTCAGGTGCAGAATTTCATTCGATCACCCAGGATGGAGTGCAGTGGTGCAATCTCAGCTCACTGCAACCTCCACCTCCCACATTCCGGCAGTTCTCCTGCCTCAGCCTCCCGAGTAGCTGGGATTACAGGCACGTGCCACCACGCCTGGCTAATTTTTGTATTTTTAGTAGAGACGGGGTTTCACCATGTTGGTCAGGCTGGTCACAAACTCCTGACCTCAAGTGATCTGCCCACCTCGGCCTCCCAAAGTACTGGGATTACAGGCATGAGCCACTGAGCCCAGCCTAATGGGTTTAATTGTCTGAAAAATGGCACAAGCTCCATGAGAGGTGGTGAGCTCCCCATTATTAGAGGAGTTCAGAGACCAGAAAACTACTTGGCAGGAATGTTTTATAGAGCATCAGACTGTTTGTCTTAGTCAGCTTGGGCTGCCATAGCAAAATATCCTAAACTGAGTGGCTTCAACAACAAACATTTACTTATTTCTCATAGTTCTGGAGGCTGGGAAGTTCAAGATCAAGGCACTAGCAGATCCAGTGTCTGGTGGGGGCTGTTTTCCTGGTTTGCAGACGGCTGCCTTCTTGCTGTGTCCTCACATAGTGGGAAGAGACAGATCTCATGTGGCTTCCTGTTTTTATTATATAAGGGCATTTACCCCATCATGTGGGCCTCACCCTTATGACCTCTTCTAACTCTAATTCCCTCCAAAGGCCTCACCTATAATTACCATCGAAGTGTGGATTAGGCTTCAACATATAAATCTGAGGAGGAAACAAACATTTAGTCCACAGTACTATTTAGTCCACAGTACTATTGGAAAAAGTATCTTTGAAAGTAACTTCTATCTCAGCTATGTTTTTAATTCACAGCCTTTAAAAAAATGTAGCTTTAAAAAATAATTTTGGCTGGGCACAGTGGCTCATGCCTGTAATCCCAGAACTTTGGCAGGCCAAGGCAGGTGGATCATCTGAGGTCAGGAGTTCAAGACTAATATGGTGAAACCCCGTCTCTACTAAAAATACAAAAATTAGCCAGGTGTGGTGGCATATGTCTGTAATCCCAGCTACTCGGGAGGCTGAGGCAGGAGAATTGCTTGAACCCAAGAGGCAGAGGTTGCAGTAAGCTGAGATCTCACCACTGGACTCCAGCCTGGGTGATAGAGTGAGACTCCATCTCAAAAAAAGAAAAAAATATATTTTAACTTAAAAAAGAAGTTTGTAGAGACTGGGTCTCACTATGTTTCCCAGGCTGGTCTTGAACTTCTGGGCTCAAGTGATTCTCCCACCTCTACCTCCCAAATTGCTGGGATTACAAGCCAAAAAAAATATAGTTAAAAAAAATTTCTTGGCTGGGTGCAGTGGCTCACGCCTGTAACCCCAGCATTTTGAGAGGCTGAGATGGATGGATCACCTGAGTTCAGGAGTTCGAGACCAGCTTGACCAACATGGTGAAACTCCATCTCTACTAAAAATACAAAAATTAGCCAGGCGTGGTGGCGTGTGACTGTAGTCCCAGCTACTTGGGAGGCTGAGACGGGAGAATTGCTTGAACCCAGGAGTCGGAGGTTGCAGTGGGCCAAGATTGTGCCACTGCACTCCAGCCTGGGCGACAGAGCGAGACTCTGTCAAATAAATAAATAAATAAATAAATAAATAAATAAATAAATTCTTAACTTGCTTTTCTCTCTCTCCCATTACCCCCAACACTACAATATAGACTCGGTGAGGGAGGACATAGTTTTTAAAAATTTTTTTAGTTTACAAGTACATGTCTAGTGCCTAGCACAGTGCTTGATAACCACAGCACAGAGTGTAAACTCAATAACTGTGTTGAAAAACCTGTGAGATAAACACTAGGAAACAAATCTGTACCCAGGACCATGTCAAAATCATTAGTACATATTTTCTGCTTATGTCATAGGTTGAAGAATCCTTTCAACTCTTGTCTACTTTGCCATTTTCAGTGCTGACCCTGGATTCCTCCCACCTCTCTCCTTGCTAGGTAGCGGTTATGCAAAGAGAACTGACCGCTCTTCAACCTCAACTCATCCTCACCTCTGAGGAAACTGCCAAGATGATGGTGAAAATTGAAGCAGAGACGAGAGAAGCTGATGCAAAGAAACTTCTGGTGCAGGCAGATGAAAAAGAAGCCAATGTTGCTGCTGCCATTGCCCAAGGAATCAAGGTAGAAAGACCAAGAAGAAAGGGAGGGAACTAGTGCTGCTGAATGAGCATGGTTATGTCCATCTCACAGATGAGAAAAGTGAGGCTCAGAAAGGGTAGGCAAGGCTGGGCATGGTGGCTCACAGCTGTAATCCCAGCACTTTGGGAGACCAAGGGAGGTGGATCACCTGAGGTTAGGAGTTCAAGACTAGCCTGACCAACATGGTGAAACCTCGTCTCTATTAAAATACAAAAAAAAAAAAATTAGCCAGGCATGGTGGTGTGTGTCTGTTATCCCAGCTACTCAGGAAGCTGAGGCAGGGGAATTGCTTGAACCTGGGAGGCAGAGGTCGCAGTGAGCCGAGATTGCACCACTGCACTCCAGCCTGGGCGACAAGAGTGAAACTTCGTCTAAAAAAATAATAATAATAAGGGGTAGGTGACTCTCCCAGCATCACATAGCTGATAAGTGATGAAGCAAGTTGCTCTGAAACATGGTTGAATCCAGGAAGCATTAAGACCCAACATATGGACATGTGTGGTGGCTCACACCTGTGATCCCAGAGCTTTGGGAGACAAAGGCAGGAGGATCACCTGAGCCTAGGAGTTTAAGACCAGCCTGGGCAACATAGCAAGATCCTGTCTCTACAAAAATAAAACTAAGAAAGTTAGCCAGGTGTAGTGGCACACCCATTTAGTCCCAGCTATTCAGGAGGCTGATGTGGGAGGTTTGCTTGAGCCCAGGAGTTTGAGGCTATAGTGAACTAGGATCATACCACTGCAATCCATAGCTCACTGCAGCCTTGAACACTTGGACTCAAGTGATCCTCATGCCTCAGCCTCCAGAGTAGCTGACCAAGACCTTGTGTTGTCTAAAAAACAAAACAAAAAAGTGGCCAGGTGCAGTGGCTCATGCCTGTAATCCCAGTACTTTGGGAGGCTGAGGTGGGTGGATTGTGTCAGTGCTGGAGTTCACGACCAGCCAAGTTCAAGACCAGCCTGGGCAACATGGAGAACCCCATCTCTACAAAAAAATGTAAAAAAATTTGCCGGCTGTGGTGGCATGCACGTATGGTCCCAGCTATTCAGGAGGCTGAGGTGGATGAGTCCTGAGCCCAGGAGGTTGAGGCTACAGTGGGTCCAGATCGCACCACTGCACTCCAGCCTGGGTGACAGAGCAAGACCCTGTCTCAAAAACAAACAAACAAAAAGACCCAATCTGTTTTGACCTCATCTCTTACCACTTTTCCTTCACTCCTTGTACTCTGGCCACGTTGATCTCCTAGCTATTCATTCAATAATCATAACCCACACTCCCACCCCAGAGCCTTTGAACTGGCTGTTCCCTCTACACAGAATGCCCTTCCTTTTGATATCCACATGGCTGTTTCTTTCGCCTCCATCGTATTTTTGCTCAATTATGCCTGGTGTGTTGTAGGTGTGGAATAAATATTTGTTGAATGACAGAATGTTGAACCTAGAGGAAACCCACTTGAAGGTGATTCTTGTGCCAGAGAGGAAATAGTCCTGGTAAGGGCTTGACCTACATTCAGGTAGTAAAAGAAAATCTATTTATTCTATTAGCATTGATGTGATGTTGTATATTTCACAAAGCACTTTGAAGTACATGGTTACATTTGAGCATTAAAACTACTTTGAGACTTCAGAATGACAGATGGGGCCAGGAGAGGTGGCTCATGCCTATAACCTCAGCACTTCAGGAGGCCAAGGTGGGCAGATCACTTGAGGTCAGGTGTTCGAGAACAGCCTGGTCAACATGATAAAACCTTACCTCTACTAAAAATACAAAAATTAGCTGGGCATGGTGGCACGTGCTTGTAATACCAGCTACTCAGGAGGTTGAGGTGGGAGAATTTCTTGAATCTAAGAGGTAGAGGTTACAGTAAGTCGAGATCTCACCAATGCACTCCAGCCTCAGCGACAGAGCGAGACCTTATCTCAAAAAAAAAAAAAAAAAAAAAAAAAAAAAAAAAAGAATGACAGACATGGGCATATGAGAGTTGACAGCATTGAGGTTCAGTGGTAACTTGACTTTCCAGAGCTGCATGGTTAGTTAGTGGGATTAGAAGCCAAGGTTCATGGCACTTACCTTAACATACTTGAACCTATGCCCCCACTTAACAGAAAATTCTCTTAACCATTCTTCAAACAAGGGCTTGATCAAAAAGCAGCCTATGTCTGTCTTCTGTCATAAATAGGTCATAGCGGCCAGGCGCTGTGGCTCACGCCTGTAATCCCAGCACTTTAGGAGGCTGAAGCAGGAGGATCACTTGAGGTCAAGAATTGGAGACCAGCCTGGCCAATACGGTGAAACCCTGTATCTACTAAAAATATAAAAATTAGCCGGGTCTGGTGGTGGGGCACCTGTAATCCCAGCTATTCAGGAGGCTGAAGCACAAGAATCACTTGAACCTGGGAGGTAGAGGTTGCAGTGAGCCAACATCATGCCACTCCAGCCTGAGTGACCAAAAAAAAAAAAAAAAGTAATAGGGCATTGTCTCAGAAGGGCAGGCCTTTTTGATTGGCTTTTCTCCACTGAGTCCAGAGACCTGGCCTGTGGGAGATCCCCTGGGTGGGTCTGATCCCTGTCAGAGTCACATAATGAATACCCTGAATTACAGATGCTTTTTCACTTAGAGTCCTAATAGAACAGACAGGAGATGAATGGAAACCATCAGTAATAATAGACCAGGCAATGTGGGTCATGCCTTTAATCCCAGTGCTTTGGGAGGCTGAGTCAGGAGGATGGCTTGAGGCCAGGCGGAATTTCAGACCAGCCCGGGTAGCAATAGTGAAAACTCTTCTCTACAAAAAACTAAAAAGAAAAAAATTGGCCAGGTGCAGTGGAGCACACCTGTAGTCTTAGTGACTCAGGAGACTGAGACAGGAGGATCACTTGAGTCCAGGAGCTGCAGTAAGTTGTAGTCACACCACTGCCTGGACTACGGAGTCAGATCTTATCTCAAAAAAAAAAAAAAAGAAATCAGGAGATTTCAAGTAACAATTCTGAATTTTCAGCTTTTCTTTGGAAAACATCAGGCAACCTGGCAACATCGAAGCTGCCCTCCCGGGTTGCACTCATCATCAGTATTAAATAGATGCTGCTCCTGTGTTTCAATTCACCAAAGCCCCAGCCCCACCCACTCACACTCACTGGCCTGGCCCCCTGAGGCGCATGAATTGGCAACTCTTCCATGGTTCTGTGCTAGAAGCAGGTACATCAGGGCTCAGTTTTTGCTCTGTCCTTTCCTCGCTTCAGTTTCTTCATCTACGAAGTGGGGGTACTAAGAGGAAAACATGTAACATTTGTAGCCTGTGCCAGAGCGTAAGGGTCTATGTTAGCGATTCTCCAAAACTGCTGTTCTTTGCTCTATACCAAGGGGACTTGCCTATGGGACCAAGGCTAGCCCCTCTCCACATGTGGGTCACGGAGGGAAGGAGAACAGCACAGCCAGGACTCTGCTCTGTAATGTCAGGCCAAACAGTGACTTGCTGGAGCAGGAGGGAGGTGAGTGATGGCACAAGGTTTGTAAGGGGGTGACCCAGGACACCCCACCACACCCACTCCCAGGCAAAAACTGCCACATCAGGTTTCAGTGCAAAGGGTGAGGCTCAATACTCTGCCATCCCATCCCTCTTCCAGGGAGTGACATCCTGGGATGAGTCAGGAAGTGGAAGAAACTAGCCAGGGAGGAGAAGAAACCAGTGTCTGACGTGCAGCTTCCCTGAGGCTTTTGTGTGGACTGGAATCCCTTCCTGGACCTTTCAGGGCTGTGGTCCTCCTGCCCGGGAGGAGTTGCTAATTTTCTCTAATCTCTTCACACTCCCAGAAATGACACAACATGGAATAGTGCCCAGTAGGGTACCGAATGCACAGCAGGAATGCAAATGAAATCCATATTAGGAGTTTCTGTTTGATCCTAATTTCCCTTTAAGAAACATAAATTTTAGTGTTTCTTTATATGGAGAAAAAGTGAGTTCCCTGCTCTTTACCAAAAAAGAAAAAAAAAAAGGTGATTTGTTAGAAACTCAAAAGTATGGCTGGGCATGGAGGCTCATGCCTGTAATCCCAGCACTTTGGGAGGCTGAGACGAGTGGATCACCTGAGGTCAGGAGTTCAAGACCAGCCTGGCCAACATGGTGAAAACTCATCTATACTAAAAAAAAAAAGTTAGTCAGACCTGGTGGCGGGCGCCTGCAGTCCCAGCTACTCGGGAGCCTGAAGTGCGAGAATTGCTTGAACCCGGGAAGCAGAGGTTGCAGTGAGCCGAGATCACACCGCTTCTGCAGTCCAGCCTGGATGATAGAGCGAGACTCTGTCAAAAAAAAAAAAAAAAAAAAAAAAAAAAAAAAAAAGAAAAAAAAAGGAAAAGAAATCCATACTGGGAAGACAAAGAGACTGGAAAAGCAAGAATCAGGTCACCAACACTTGATTGACGAGCATAATGATTTGCTTACGTTGGTCAATTCTTTCCAATTATTTCTTTCCCCCCTAATGAGGATGATGAGTGATACCAAAATTACTGCGATCTGATTACTTTTCGCCACACTGCCCTGAACTCCATACCTCTCAAACAATCCTATTGCTCTTCTCATGCTAAGACTCAGGGGCAACTTTAAATTATTATGTTTTTAGCATAGAAACAAATGTGGTAACAACGCCTATGTGAGTTTTTTTGTTTTTGTCTTTTGTTTTTGTTTTTAGACAGCGTTTCACTCTTGATGGCCGGGCTGGAGTGCAATGGCAAAATCTCAGCTCACTGCAACCTCCGCCTCCCGGGTTCAAGCGATTCTTCTGCCTCAGCCTCCTGAGTAGCTGGGATTACAAGCGCCCGCCACCACGCCCGGCTAATTTTTGTATTTTTAGTAGAGACAGGATTTTGCCATGTTGACCAGGCTGGTCTTGAACTCCTGACCTCAAGTGATCCACCCGCCTCGGCCTCCCAAAGTGCTGGGATTATAGGCATGAGCCACCGCGCCCGGCCAAAAAAGCAAATAAGTTGAATGCTCAGATGTTCGGGACATCCAGACCACAGCCCCAAAAGGCCATGCATGTGTTCCGGCTGCTGGTTAACGCTCAGAGCCATAGTCCAGCTTCAGGGGCAGGCACCGTGTTAAAGGGGATCTGGAAGAGGAAGAGGAAGCACCTCTTCCTGATTCCTCATGTAGGAGTGAAGCTCTGCTTTGCCCCCAGTGTGCCAGGCCCTGGGCACTCATCTCCTTTGTCCTCGTGCTGCCCACAGAACGAATGTGAGGGCGATCTAGCTGAGGCAATGCCTGCGCTCGAGGCTGCACTAGCTGCTCTGGACACCCTGAACCCGGCCGACATCTCACTGGTGAAGTCGATGCAGAACCCACCAGGCCCTGTCAAGCTGGTCATGGAGAGCATCTGCGTCATGAAAGGGATGAAGCCAGAGAGAAAGCCAGACCCCAGTGGCTCCGGTAACCCCCACCTCACCCCACCCAGATGCCTGCACAGACTGCTCTTTCCTGGCAGTGGGGTGCCAGCACCCCACTGCATCCCCAAGTCGACTCCAAGCATGCAGGCAAGATCATTGAGTTTGGAGGAATTAAGAAAGAAACCAGGCTGTGTGTGCACCCAAGGCCTCTCTCACGCTTCTCCAGCAGCCTCCGCCCTCTCAGTCAGTTGGGAAAATGCAGGTATCTGTAGGTGGAGCTGAGCTTAGTCAAGGCCTCTCCCTGCAAGTCATTACAAAAATGAAGGTCAGGTAGACAAAAGGCCTGGTGCGGAACAAACACAGTCATGTGTGGGTGACCAAGAGAGCTACAGAGAGAGAGAAACAGAGAGAGAAGCAGAGAAAGAGAGTTAGGGAAAGGAAAAGAATGAGACAGAGACAAAGAAAGGAACAGAGAGGAGACTGAGAAATAAATGGAGACCCAGACACCTCTACACACATGCATGCATGCACCATGCACAGACATGCACACGCATGCACACACGCAGAGACGTGCACACGCATGCACACACAGACATGCACACATGTGCATGCACATATAGACATGCATGCACACACGCATACACAGAGCCATGCATGAACACACATGCATGCATACACAAATATGCACACACAGATGTGCACACACACACGCATGCACACACATGCAGACATGCATACACACAGGCATGCATATGTATATGCACCCAAAGGGACAGGGGGACCAGGAGAGAAGGAAATCAGGAGAAAGAGACAGGGAAACACACACACACACACACAGATAAAGAGAAAGAAAAAGAGAGAGAGGAGATGGGGAGAGACTTGCACGCACAAGTGAGTTGCAGACATCCAGGAGAGAGTAAGGCATGAGGGGAGAGAAACAGGTAGAAATAGAGACTGAGAGACAAATATGTGGAGAGCGACAGAGAAATGGAGACAGAGAGACGCAGAGACACAGGGAGTGCCAGAGATACAAAGAGAGACACAGAAACAGAGACACAGAGTGGGAAGAAAAGAGACCAGAGAGAAGAGAGACAGACAGGGAGACACAAACACTCACAGGAAGACAGAGAGGAAGAGTTGGGGGAGGGGGTGGGGTGCAGCAGAAGTGAGGAATGGAAAATTAGAGGGAGAGAGACATGGACAGGAGACAAGGGCAAAGACAGGCAGAGATGGCAACTGGAGGGGGAGAAAGAGAGAGGGGGGGACAGACGAAAAAAGAAAAAGAGGAAGATACAGAGAATTAGAAATGGGGAGAAAGGAATGGGGAAGGAGGAAGGAAAGCCCCTTCTACAGTTGAGCCTAGAAACATGAACAGGTGAATATTCACTGTCCTTCAAATTTAAATTAGATGTAGGACTTTGCATTGAGAGCAGTGCCTTAGAGCTGAACCATGACTTTAAAAATCACCTCCAGTTCTATTTCCTCCCATTCTGAGGACTCCTCTATTTGAGTCCTCCCATCCTGAGAGCAGTCTGGCTATTCCTTCATTATTTCTATAATGTTAGAAATCTCTACTTTAATACCATCCAGGCACAGTGGCTCACACCTGTAATCCCAGCACTTTGGGAGGCTGAGGTGGGTGGATCACTTGAGCCCAGGAGTTTGAGACCAGCCTGGACAACATGACAAAACCCCATCTCTACAAAAAATACGAAATTTAGCCAGGCGTGCTGGTGCACGTCTGTAGTCCCAGCTGCTCAGGAGGCTGAGAAGAGAGGAACGCTTGAGCCTGGGAGGTTGAGGCTGCAGTGAGCCGTGATCCTGCCACTGCTCTTTAGCCTGTATAACAGAGTGAGACCCTGTCTCAAAAAAGAAATCCCTGATCCCTCATTTGAGACCTTCTGGCTCCTGCTTCCCATTGCTTAGTATTCCCTCTTCTCTGGCGGCTGTCAGGCCTACAATCACATAAAACAGATGCAAAGCTCATCAGGAAGAGCCAAACAAGGAGTGGACTTTACAAGAGCATCCTTTAGGGAAGCAGCTGAGGTATAATAAGTTGGCCTTGAGCAAAGATGAGCTAGATAGCACTTCTGCACCCTGGAATCACCTGGAGAGCTTAAAGAATGCAGAAGTCAGGCAGGCGCGGTAGGTCACTCCTGTCATCCCAGCACTCTGGGAGGCCAACATGGGCGATCACCTGAGGTCAGGAGTTTGAGACCAACCTGGCCGACATGGTGAAATCCCGTCTCTACCAAAAATACAAAAAAAAACCGGGTGTGGTGGCATGTGCCTGTAATCCCAGCTACTTGGAAGGCTGAGGCAGGAGAATTGCTTGAATCCGGGAGGCAGAAGTTGCAGTGAGCCGAGACCACGCCATTGCGCTCCAGCCTGGGCAACAAGAACGAAACTCCGTTAAAAAAAAAAAAAAAGCAGAAATCCATGCCCCACTCCTAGAGAGTCTCATTCCATTGGTCTGGGATGCAGCCTGAGCAGTAGAATTTTTTTTTTTTTAAGCTCTGCCTGCAGCTGGGGTTGAGACCTGCTGAGATACACAAAGCACAGCCAGGTCATGAATGCCATTTCTCATCTTGGATCACTGATAATCAGCACAGAACCTATCATTAAATTAAAATTAAAGCAAATTATGCCTATTATTCACCCAAACCATGGAATTGAGTTAGTATATTGAGAAGGAGCAAAAGAGCAATTGAGTGAGTGAGTTAGGGGTACCTTGAATTTAAATGAAGCAGATCATTTTCTAGAATGCCAACAGAAACCTTCATGGGAAATATTTGGCCGATTTCTGCTCTTGTAATTAGGAATGGGACACATTTGACCTGCTGTACTCAATGTGATGTCTCAGAGTATAACTTTCTTGATGAGCCTGAGCTTGGCAAGTACCGTGGGCCAAAAAGCTTCCTGAATTTTTTCCAATGTGTCAACAGAAGGAGCATTGTTCCGGGATGGGATTGAGACTCACTTGATTAGTCGTTAATCAGCATGATGGGTGCTAAGGGGAATAAGGGCCTGGCTTTGTGTCTGGGCAGGCCACGGGTAGTCTTCTGTATGGGTGGAAGCCTGCAAGCTGCTTCTTCCAGCCTCCTTCATTCTCACAAGATCTTGGCCTCACTCACACGGTTCATCACAGGGAGGACTGATTGGGCTCCATCCATCCAACCGACCTCCCAGACTAGGGAAGAATATTCGAAACATCCCCACAGGCTGTGGCTCCTCCTGCCTTTTCCATCCATGAATAAGATAATGGGGTACTATTCATTCAACCCATATTTATTGATAACTAAGTACCAGGCAGTGTGCCAGGTTCTAGGAAACAGCAGAAGGTTACCGCTTTGAGGGAGAGGTAGATGGTAGAAAATAATTGAAGGGAAACCTCAATGGCGATGGCTTTTAAAATGAGGCCTCTGACCTGGGCAACATGGCGAAGCTTCATCTCCATAAAAAATGCAAAGATTGGCTGGGCGCAGCTGGGCGTGGTGGCCCATGCCTGTAATCCCAGCACTTTGGGAGGCTGAGGTAGGTGGATCACCTGAGGTCAGGAGTTCAAGACCAGCCTGTCCAACATGGTGAAACCCCATCTCTACTAAAAGTACAAAAAAATTAGCTGGGCGTGGTGGCAGGTGCCTATAATCCTAGCTACTCTGGAGGCTGAGGTAGGAGAATCGCTTGAACCCGGGAGGCAGAGGTTGTGATGAGCCGAGGTCGCACCATTGCACTCCAGCGTGGACAACAAGAGTGAGACTCCATCTCAAAAAAAAAAAAAAAAAAAAATTGTCTGGGTGCGGTGGCTCAGACCTGGAATCTTAGCACTTTGGGAGGCCGAGGTGGGTGGATCATATGAGGTCAAGAGTTTAAGACCAGCCTGGTCAACATGGTAAAACCCCGTCTCTACTAAAAATACAAAAATTAGCCAGGCGTGGTGGCACATATCTATAGTCCCAGCTCTTTGGGAGGCTGAGGCAGGAGGATCGCTTGAACCCAGGAGGCGAAGGTTGCAGTGAGCCGAGATCGCACCACTGCACTCAAGCCTGGCCAACAGCGCAAGACTCTGTCTCAAAATAAATAAATAAATAAAACAAAATAAAATAAAATGAGAACTGAGGTCTGGTCAGGAGCCAGCTAGATGCCATTTACAGTATCGGCGAAGGGCTCATGGTAATAAGCACTTGGGGTCATGAAGGAATTGAAGGAAGGTCCTTCGTAACCCGAGTTTAGGGAGTGAGGCAGAGATGGGGTTGGTGAGGTCAGCTGGGCCTCCCAGACCATGTTTTTGTTTTTGTTTTTTCTCAAATACCAGCAGTAACCACTGCAAAATTTTAAGTCTCGACCAGAATGTCTTAATACATTATGTGTTTCTTGTTCCGAATAGGTAAGATGATAGAAGACTACTGGGGAGTATCCAAAAAGATTCTTGGGGATCTGAAATTCTTGGAGAGTCTTAAGACGTATGACAAAGACAACATCCCCCCACTGACCATGAAGCGGATCCGGGAAAGGTTTATCAATCACCCGGAATTCCAGCCGACTGTCATTAAAAATGTGTCTTCGGCCTGCGAGGGTCTGTGCAAGTGGGTGAGGGCCATGGAGGTGTACGATCGCGTGGCCAAGGTGGTGGCTCCCAAACGGGAGCGACTGAGGGAAGCAGAGGGGAAGCTGGATGCACAGATGCAGAAGCTGAATCAGAAACGAGCAGAGCTGAAGCTGGTGGTAGACCGGCTCCAGGCCCTGAATGACGACTTTGAGGAGATGAACACCAAGAAAAAGAACTTGGAGGAAAACATTGAAATCTGCTCCCAAAAGCTAGTCAGGGCAGAGAAACTGATCAGTGGTCTCGGGGGAGAGAAGGACAGATGGACCGAAGCTGCCCGGCACCTGGGGATCCGCTATACTAATCTGACGGGTGACGTGTTGCTGTCCTCAGGAACCGTGGCTTACCTGGGCGCTTTTACAGTGGATTATCGGATCCAGTGCCAAAATCAGTGGTTGGCTGAATGTAAGGACAAGGTCATCCCCGGCTCTAGTGACTTCAGTCTCAGCCATACGTTAGGGGATCCCATAAAAATCCGTGCCTGGCAGATTGCTGGGCTTCCCGTTGACTCCTTCTCCATCGACAACGGCATCATTGTGTCCAATTCCAGACGCTGGGCCTTAATGATTGACCCTCAGGGGCAGGCCAATAAATGGATTAAGAACATGGAGAAGGCGAATAAACTGGCTGTCATCAAGTTATCTGATAGCAACTACATGAGGATGCTGGAAAATGCGCTGCAGTTAGGCACCCCTGTCTTGATTGAAAACATTGGTGAAGAGCTGGATGCTTCTATCGAACCTATCTTGCTCAAGGCAACATTCAAACAGCAAGGAGTTGAGTACATGAGACTGGGTGAAAACATCATCGAATATTCCAGGGATTTTAAGTTATACATCACAACCCGTTTGAGGAATCCACATTACCTCCCAGAAGTTGCCGTGAAAGTCTGTCTCCTCAACTTCATGATCACCCCCTTGGGTCTCCAAGATCAACTCCTTGGCATCGTGGCTGCGAAGGAGAAGCCAGAGCTGGAAGAGAAAAAGAACCAGTTGATTGTGGAAAGCGCAGAGAACAAGAAGCATCTCAAAGAAATTGAAGATAAGATCTTAGAGGTTCTCTCCATGTCCAAGGGTAACATTCTGGAGGATGAAACTGCCATCAAAGTTCTGTCCTCCTCCAAAGTGCTATCTGAAGAGATCTCGGAGAAACAGAAAGTTGCCTCCATGACAGAAACGCAGATTGACGAGACTCGGATGGGCTATAAGCCAGTGGCTGTGCATTCCGCCACCATCTTCTTTTGTATCTCGGACCTGGCCAACATCGAGCCGATGTACCAGTACTCCCTGACTTGGTTCATACATCTCTACATGCATTCCCTGGCCCATAGCACGAAGAGCGAAGAACTGAATCTGCGCATCGAGTACATCATTGACCATTTCACCCTCAGTATCTACAACAACGTGTGCCGTTCTCTGTTTGAGAAGGACAAGCTACTCTTCTCTCTCCTCCTGACCATCGGCATCATGAAACAGAAGAAGGAAATTACGGAGGAGGTGTGGTACTTCCTTCTCACTGGAGGCGTCGCGCTGGATAACCCCTACCCCAACCCAGCTCCCCAATGGCTGTCTGAGAAGTCGTGGGCGGAGATTGTCCGTGCATCTGCTTTACCCAAATTGCACGGCCTGAAGGACCATTTGGAACAGAACCTGGATGAATGGAAGCTGATCTATGACTCAGCCTGGCCCCACGAGGAGCAACTCCCTGGATCTTGGAAGTTCTGTCAAGGACTGGAGAAGATGGTGATCCTCCGATGTTTGCGGCCTGACAAAATAGTGCCAGCGATCCGGGAGTTCATTGCTGAACACATGGGAAAGCTGTACATCGAAGCCCCTACCTTCGATCTCCAGGGATCCTACAATGATTCCAGCTGCTGTGCGCCTTTGATTTTTGTGTTGTCTCCAAGTGCAGACCCAATGGCAGGTAAGAACAGAGTGTTGTGGAAGAGAGGCGGAAAGCCCAGAATGTGTGGGTGGATATCAGTAGCCCGTCCCTTACAGCAGGGATCTCAAGTTCGGATGACTCTGAAGGCCAAGTGGTTCATACACTGAGGTGGAGCCACGAAACTCTTATTTTTCCACCTAAAGAGCTCAGCTGCTACTCGGCACCCACAAATTGGGCCATTTGGGAATGTAAGCCCAGAATTGCTAGATCATCTGATTTTTCAAGAGAAACCAGAAATGCAGAAATTTCCCACTGTTGTATCTTGATAATTCAGTCAAAGTTTTTTCCTTAAAAACCTTGTGAGGGTTCAGGAGAGGTGGCTTACGCCTGTAATCCCAGCATTTTGGGAGAATGAGTTGGGAGGATTGCTTGAGCCCAGGAGTTTGAGACCAGCCTGGGCAACATAGTGAGACCTCCATTGCTATAAAACATTAAAAAATTAGCTGGAAACGGTGGCACATGCCTGTAGTTCCAGCTACTTGGGAGGCTGAGGTAGGAGGATCCCTTCAGCCTGGGGAGATCAAGGCCGCAATGAGCTATGATCACACCACTCCAGTCTAGGGGACAGACCCTGCCCCCTCCCAAAGAAAAGAACAAAATAGAAGCTTGGTGAGATTCAGCTCGGATGATTCCACAGGAAACTTCACACTGTGTTCCTTCTAGTGCCGCACATCACGAGATCCATACTGTCTGGCTGTCTTTTCTGATAAAGACAGGTCTGGGGACTCAGGCATTGTCAGCGTGAGCTGGTTGTCCGTTCCCCCGTTCCCTCCCTTATAAAGTTTCCCACCAGATTTTCACCTAATGTGACGGTTCTCAATCTTGGCTGCACATTGGGATCACCTGGGGAGTTTAAAGAAGCATCTCAATGCATAGGCCACAGCCTTGGCCAATTAAATTAAAACCTTTGGGATGTTTTATGAATTGTGTTTTATGAAGCCTTTCTAGTCATTCCAATGTGCAACCAGTGCTGGGAATCACTGCCTTTAATAGTTTTAGTGGCCTATGACAATCATTACCGAGATCCATTATTTCACTAGCCAGTGCACAATGATGATTATTATTGTTTTATTTTTTATTATTTTATTTTATTTATTTATTTGTTTTGAGACAGAGTCTTGCTCTGTCGCCCAGGCTGTAGTGCAGTGGCGTGATATTGGTTCACTGCAACCTCCACCTCTCGGGTTCAAGCAATTCTCGTGCCTCAGCCTCCCGAGTATCTGGGATTACAGGCACGTGCCACTACGTCCAGCTAATTTTTGTATTTTTAGTAGAGATGGGGTTTCACGATGCTGGCCAGGCTGGTCTTGAACTCCTGACCTCAAGTGATCCACCCATCTTGGCCTCCCAAAGTGCTAGGATTACTGGCATGAGCTACTCGGGAGGCAGAGGCAGGAGAATTGCTTGAATCTGGGAGGTGGAGGTTGTGGTGAGCCAAGATTGCGCCATTGCACTCCAGCCTGGGCAACAAGAGCAAAACCCCATCTCAAAAAACAAACAAACAGCAATTTATTTTCTCACAATTCTCAAAGAAAGAAGTTTGAAATCAAGCTTTTGGCAGGGATGGTTTCTTCTGAGGCCTGTCTGCTTGGCTTGCTGATGGTCATCTTCTCCCTATGTCTGCACAGGGCCTTCTCTCTGTGTCTGTCCTCATCTCCTCTTCTCATAAGGATATCAGTCATATTGGATTAAGACCCATTCTAATGAACTCATTTTAACTTTGCCTCTGCAAAGACCCTATCTCCAGCTACTGAACAGTTACATTCTGAGGTACCTGAAATTAGGACTTCAACGTATGAATTTTGCTAGGGACACGATGCAGCTCATAACAGAGACCATATGTAATCCTTAGAATATTAACCCTGATTTTTTTTATGTGCTGCCTGCCCCTCATGGTGATGTACTTCCTCGTGTATTTTTTTTATTGTGAGTTCACCATCAGCAGATTTGTGTTGTTTTGCAGGAGTCTCATATACTTTGGGTTTTAGGGGTGTCCCTACAGAACAACTTTGCCTGTGCAAACAGTGGTACCCCAGGGGGCGAAGTGGGGGTCGCCATTCTGAATCAAATTTTATGGGAAATTTCTCAGCTTAGGAATCCCACACCAGAGAGTACTGTGAACTCACACTCCTCAAATTCATGTGGCGTAAACAGTGTTTTGATTTTTCACTGGAGAGTTGTTTGTTTTTTTCATCCAGGCTCCAGACCAGTTATGAGCTTCCATGTCTTTTCCTTGGGTCAGTAGTCAAATGGCCTTCTTTTTTTGTTTGTTTGTTTTTTTTTTGAGATGGAGTCTCACTGTGTAACCCAGGCTGGAGTGCAGTGGCACGATCTCAGCTCACTGCAACCTCCGCCTCTCCCCGGGTTCAAGCAATTTTCCTGCTTCAGCCTCCCAGGTAGCTCATACTACAGGCGTGCGCCACCAAACCCAGCTAATATTTGTATTTTTAGTAGAGATAGGGTTTCACCATGTTGGCCATGCTTGTCTCGAATTCCTAACCTCAAGTGATCCTCTCATCTCGGCCTCCCAAAGTGCTGGGATTACAGGCGTGAGCCACCACATCTGGCCAAATGTCTGGTCTTCATAACATGAAGGTATGGCATTTTGAGAATCCTAACTTTATGCAAATGTCTCAGTTCCAGCTCCCCACCTCTTATGAGTGCAAAGCTGTATCTCCCATGGACATTAAAACTTTAACATCTAGAGTAATGAAATAAAGTGTGGTATTTTCCAATGGTGATATACTATGTATCCATGAAAGAAAAAAGCCTTAATACATGTACTAATGTGGAAGAGACCTATAAGATACGTACATTGTTAAGTGGGAAAAAATGCAGTATTCTACAATTCATATAAATTTAATCATATATATGCATTTATTTAAATACATAAAATATTTCTGGAAGAATTCACAAATCTAGTAACATTGGCTACCACTGGGAAGAGAGAAGTGAGAGACTTACTTATTTCACTTTATAAATGCTTATATTTCTCGTTAAAATAAATTTGCAAAAATCAGTTTCCTAGTTATTTGATTATGTGCTCACCTCTTTATTTTTGAGTTCCCCATTTTTGGCACCTGGGAATATCCCTTTCTTTCAAGCCTTGATTTTTTTTTTCTTTTCAGTTCAGATAATTCCTTTTTTTAATCAAGAATGTCTATGTGTTTAAAGCAAAAGAGAAGTTGGTTGTAGCTTCATCTGCCATCTGACCTGATGTCTTGAGCTTCCCCAGAGAGATGTTTATTTTGTAATTAACAGAAGCCAATGAGTTTTTTTCTGAGTCCAAAATTTTAATGTGAACCCCACCTTTTGTGTTGGTATTGGTGCGCGCGTGTGTGTATATGTGTGTGTGTGTGTGTTTAAATAGAGACAGAGTCTCACTGTGTTGCCCAGGCTGGTCTCCAACTCCTGAGCTCAAGTGATCCTCCCACCTCGGCCTCCCAAAGTGTTGGGATTACAGGTGTGAGCCACCACACCGAGCCATGTTTATTGTTGATGTGGCTATTCTGTTACTCTTAGCTAGCCTGTCATCTTTCAAAAGCCTCCTTTCTTCCTGGTCTCAGGCCTGCTGAAGTTTGCTGACGACCTTGGTATGGGAGGTACCAGAACACAGACCATCTCCCTTGGCCAAGGCCAAGGCCCTATTGCTGCCAGAATGATCAACAATGCCGTCAAAGACGGGACCTGGGTGGTCTTACAGAACTGCCATCTGGCCACAAGCTGGATGCCTACACTGGAGAAGATTTGTGAGGAGGTGATTGTACCTGAGAGCACTAATGCCAGATTCAGGTGAGATGCTGTCCCACCACTGCCTTCTCTGGGACCCAACCTCCAGACATCAGGCTGGTGGCTGGGAAGATGATCAAGACACAGTCCTGCCCCTTAGAAACTCTCAGTCTAGGCTGGGCAGGGTGGCTCATGCCTGTAATCCCAGCACTTTGGGAAGCTGAGGCGGGTGGATCCCCTGAGGTCAGGAGTTCGAGACTAGGCTGGCCAACATGGCAAAATGCTGTCTCTACTAAAAATACAAAAATTAGCAGGGCGTAATGGTGTATACCTGTAATCTCAGCTACTAGGGAGGCTGAGGTGGGAGAATTGCTTGAACTCAGGAGGCAGAGGTTGTAGTGAGCAGAGATCATATCACTGCATTCCAGCCTGGGCGACAGAGTGAGACTTCCTCTCAAAAAAAGAAAAAAAGAAAGAAAGAAGCTCTTCAGTCTAGCAGAAGGCAGCCCATAGATGAATAATGTTGATACCATGTCATATCTGATTTACTCACTATTTGAAGAAGAGCCATGGAATATAGAAAAGGGATGGGAAGGTTGGGGAAGTCCTGGAGGCCTGACAATGGCCCAGGATTTTGAAAAATGAATAGGAGTTTGCCAGGAAGGATATTCTAGGCAGAAGAGACAGCATTTGGAAAAGCAAAGAGAAGTATTAAGGAAATACTGAGAAGTTATCTTACAACTCTGGTATATGCCATGAGAAGTTGTTGGAGAAGGTAATAGGAAATGTAGCTGGAAAGGTAGACTCAATGTGAGCAAGTCTAATTTTTAAAAATTATTATTTGTCTTAAAAAAATCCTGTCCAGGCGTGTTGGTTCACGCCTGTAATATCAGCATTTTGAGAGGCTGAGATAGGTGGATTGCTTGAACCCAGGAGTTCAAGGTCAGCTTGGGCAACACGGCAAAACCCCGTCTCTACTAAAAATACAAAAAATAAGCTGGGCGTGGTGGCGCACATTTGTAGTCCCAGCAACTTGGGAGGCTGAACTGGGAGAATCACCTGAGCCCGAGAAGTCGTGGCTGCAATGAGCGGTGATCACACCACTGCACTCCAGCCTGGGCCACAGAGTGAGACCCTGTTTAAAATAATAATAAAAAAAAATTCTACCATTTTCCAGGTATCATTTGTCCAACCTCCTGCCACCTGCCTACCTCTATCCTACATTTCTGGGGTTCTTTGGAATTTTAATCAACATTGGAAACAGCTATTTGTTTTTTGTTAAAGCCCAGCAAAGCTAAGCCTCAGTTTTTGCATTCATAGAGTAATAAGATGAACCAAACAGACTTTAAAGTCTATTTTAACTCAAATGTTCAGGGATTCTCTTTTTTTTTTGAGACAGAGTTTCGCTCTTGTTGCCCAGGCTGGAGCGCAGTGGTGTGATCTCCACTCATGGCAACCTCCGCCTCCTGGGTTCAAGCGATTCTCCTGCCTCAGCCTCCCAAGTAGATGGGACTACAGGCATGTGCCACCACACATGGCTAATTTTGTATTTTTAGTAGAGATGGGGTTTCTCCATGTTGGTTAGGCTGGTCTTGAACTCCCAATCTCAGGTGATCCGCCCACCTCAGCCTCCCAACGTACTGGGATTACAGGTGTGAGCCACCACACCCGGACCAGGGATTCTCTTATACCAGGCCAGAGAGCAGCAACCTAAGGCCCGATGGCCAAATGCACCCTGCTGCCAGTTGTTTTTGTATAGCTTGCAAGCTAACTAAACAGTGTGGAAAAAAACCTAAAGAATCATGTTTCATAATACATGAAACTTCTATGAAATTCAAATTTTAGTGTCCATAAAGTTTTATTGAAAAACATCCATGCTTATTTATATATTGTCTATGGCTACTTCTGTATGACAAGTAGTTGCAGCAGAGATCATATGGGCTCACAAAGTCTAAAATACTTACTATTTGTTCCTTTACAGGAAAAATGTGTCAACCCCTGCTCTGTCCAATAAAGCTAGCTGGTTATTTTCATCTTAGTTGTCTGGCGGAAAAGAGGCAAAGTGTTTGGTGCTTATTTACAAAGTCAGATTAGCCACAGTTGATTTGTCTTCATATAAAACTTCCAAAAGAGAGAGAGTTTAAGAGAAGTCCATTAGTTTCAAGAATGCTGTTTGGGGCCAAGCAAGGTGGCTCACACCTATAATCCCAGCACTTTGGGAGGCCGAGGCAGGTGGATCACATGAGGCCAGGAATTCAAGACCAGCCTGGCAACATGGTGAAACCCCATCTCTACTAAAAATACAAAAATTAGCCAGGCGTGGTGTGCATGTCTGTAATCCCAGCTACTTGGGAGGCTGAGGCACAAGAATCCCTTGAACACAGGAGGTGGAAGTTGCAGTGAACTGAGATTGCACCACTGCATTCCAGCCTGGGCGACAGAGTGAGACTCCATCTCAAAAAAAAAAAAACAAAAAAAAGTATCAACTACTTCAAAAATACATCACAGCATTGTATGGGTTCAATGACATGAGCCAAAAACATCACCCATCTGCAGACTGAAGTCAGGCCTTAGGCCCCCAGTTTACTCTTCTACCCCTCCCAGCCCTGTGCCTGGACCACAGCCCAAAGCCCACCAAGTCTGACTAGATCACCAGCTCTCCCTCCTCCACAGGGAGGCTCAGCCTCTGTCCTGTGTCTCTAACGACCTTTCAACCCCAAACCTACCTGTTACAAATCTCTCTAATGTCTAGTAAACCAATGAAAACCAAGAGGCCATGATGTATATGTAATTTGACCTTGGGTAGGAAAAACAAATTAATAAAAGTCTGGGAGCTTAGCATGGTTGTATGCATCTATAGTATCTATAGTCCCAGCTACTCAGGAGGCTGAGGTGGGAGGATCACTTGAGCTCAGGAGTCTGAAACCAGCCTGGGCAATAGAGCAAGATATCTTTAAAAATAAAATTAGATTAAAAAAGAAGAAGAAGAAGAACTGGCCAGGAGCAGTGTTTCATGCCTGTAATCCCAGCATTTTGGGAGGCTGAGTCAGGTGGATCACATGAGGCCAGGAGTTCAAGACCAGCCTGGCCAACTTTTTGAAACCCATCTCTACTAAAAATACAAAAACTAGCTAGGCGGGGTGGTATGCGTCTGTGATCCCAGCTACTAAGGAGGCTGAGGCAGGAGAATAACTTGAACCTGGGAGGTGGAGGTTGTAGTGAGCTGAGATGCACCGTTGCACTGCAGCTTAGGTGACAGAGTGAGACCTTGTCTCAAAAAAATAAAAATAAAATAAAATAAAATAAAATAAAATAAAATAAAAATTTTGAAAAAGAGCTTCAGATGCAGTGTGCCAAGATGTTAACCTATAGGTGGTAAAATTATCAATTCTGGTTTCTTCTAAACACTTTTACATATGTTCCCATTTTTTGTGGGCATAGATAAACTTGCATTTTAAAAAAGAATTTCTCCCTATTTTTCAAGGCCCATTTCAAATGCCATTTCCTATATGACAGGCATCCACAAACTTTTTCTGTAAAGGGCCAATAGTAAATAGTTTAGGATTTGTGGCCATATTGTCTCTGTTGCAACTATTCAACTCTCGTTGTAGAGAGAAAGCAGCCTTAGGGCCAGGCACAGGGACTCACACCTGTAATCCTAGCACTTCGGGATGGTGAGGTGGGAGGATCACTTGAGCCCTGGAGTTCGAGACAAGCCTGGGCAACACAGAGGGACTCCATCTCTACATTAAAGAAGAAAAAAAAATGTAGGAGCTTTGGAGTCAGAGAATCCCGAGTTCTTTCACATCTTGGTTCAACTACTGCCAAGCGACGTGTCCTTGAAAAACCCACCTGACCTTGCCATGCCTCGGTTTCCTCACTGGTAAAAGGGTTAGTGAATCCCTCCTCATCAGGTGACTGTGAGGCTTAAGGGAAATAAAAGGACGTATGTTAAATGCTTAGCATGGCTTTGGCTCTGGTAGTATTTAATAAATCATAGCTATTGTTTTTTGTTATTTTTTTAAATTTATAAATAAAACAATTTTTTTTAGTAGAGATGGGGTTTTACCATGTTACCCAGGCTGGACTGTTTCGTTACTGTTATTGTTTTTGTTATTGTTTTTCACTATAACTTACTGTATTGCTCTAAAAGGTTGGCTCCATTGTTCTTCCAGACTCTGGCTAACCAGCTATCCATCAGAGAAGTTTCCGGTGAGCATTCTCCAGAATGGAATCAAAATGACCAATGAGCCCCCCAAAGGGCTCCGGGCCAACCTTTTGCGCTCCTACCTCAATGACCCCATCTCAGATCCTGTGTTCTTCCAAAGCTGTGCGAAGGCGGTGATGTGGCAAAAGATGTTATTTGGCCTTTGTTTCTTCCACGCCATTGTTCAAGAGAGGAGAAACTTCGGCCCCCTAGGTAAGCGATGACAGTGCACCTGGGTGGCCTGGGGGAAAGGATACCAGACACATATAGGTGTGTTTCCAGGCAGGTGCATGTTTAAGCTTGCGCTCAGATAGCGTTGCCAGTAAAATACAGTATAAGTATGTTCCAGGCAATATTTGGAACATACTTATACTAAATGATTTATTATTTAAGATTAAACTCTCACTGTATTTTTATTTGCTAAATCTGACAACCTGGCTGGGCGTGATGGCTTGTGCCTTTAATCCCAGCACTTAGGGAGGCCAAGGCAGGCAGAACCCTTGAGGCCAGGAGTTTGAGACCAGCCTGGGTAACATGGTAAAACCCCATGGTAAAAACACAAAAATTAGCCGGGTGTGGTGGTGCCCGCCTATAATCCCAGCTATTTGGGAAGCTGAGGCATGAGAATTGCTTCAACCAGGGAGGTGGAGTTTGTTGTGAGCCCATATCACACCATCGCACTCCAGCCTGGGTGACAGAGCGAGACCCTGTCTCAACAACAACAACAACAAATTCCTTTGTATGAATATATAACATTTTGCTTACATATTAATCTACCTATAGACTTTTTTTTTTTTTTTTTTGAGACACGGTCTCGCTCTGTCACCCAGGCTGGAGTGCAGTGGTGTGATCTTGGCTCATTGCAGCCTCCACCTCTCAGGTTCAAGTGATCCTCCCACTTCAGCCTCCTGAGTAGCTGGAACTACAAGCATGCCACCCCACCCAGCTAATATTTGTATTTTTGGTAGAGATGGGGTTTCACCGTGTTGGCCAGGCTGGCCTAGAACTCCTGAATATTAAAAAAATAAATAAATTAAAATAAATAAATTAGCCTGACATAGTAGCACATTCCTGTAGTCCCAGCTACTTGGGAGGCTGAGGTGGGAGGATCACTTGAACCTGGGAATTCCAGGCTACAGTGAACGGAGATCATACCACTCCAGACTGGGCAACAGAACGAGATCCTGCCTCTAAAAAAAAAAAAAGCCAAGCAACCGTTTGGCTTGCAACTAACTGCCAGTCATGCTTCATTTGCTGGCACACGAATTTTATTATTTTGTTATACTTCTAATTTGAAAGCGAGTGTTTGGGAGGAAATTAAACTTCTCTATTGAGCCTGGGCGTGGTGGTTCACGCCTATAATCCCAGCACCTTGGAAGGCTGAGGCAGGCGGATCACTTGAGGTCAGGAGTTCAAGACCAACCTGGCCAACATGGCGAATCCCTGTCTCTACTAAAAATATATAAACTAGCTGGGCATGGTGGCACATGCCTGTAATCCCAGCCACTCAGGAGGCTAAGATAGGAGAATCTCTTGAACCCAGGAGGCGGAGGTTGCAGTGAGCTGAGATCACGACACTGCATTCCAGCTTGGGGGACAGAGCGAGACTCTGTCTCAAAACAAACAAATAAACAAAAGCAAAACAAACAAACAAAAAACTTCTCTATTGAGCACAGGCTTCCCCATACTCTTTCTTGTATCCTGCACCATGCCTGGTTTACACATGTATGTCACTTGTTCAGCCCCCAATGGGCATTTATCATTACACCCTTGGAAATATGAGTGATCATTTCTTTAAGGTTGGCCATTCAGTTTTCCCAGGAGCTCGAGGAGGGGAGTTCTCAGAACTAACGTGGCTCTGTTGCCCAGTCGTAGCTCCTGCTGTCTAGCCATGCCGCGGTGTTATTTTTGGAGCTCCATGCATTACCGCCGTATTCCTGCCAGGCTGAATAATTCTCATTCCACAAATCCCAGGACATTAACATCTTCCTTAACAAATGGGGAGGTACATAAGGAAATTGATTTTAGAATGGATGTTTTCTCAGGCAGAATGGCTCCCACGTTGGCGGTAAATGTCCAGGCTAATAGTTGGCCCCGGTGCTTGATATTCATGGGCTTGAAAGAGGCTTTTGATCCATAATGATGCTTAACTCCCGCGGCTTGGTCTTTGAGTGGAAATTAAGAGCTCTCAGCACTGAAGCCTCTCTCTGCTCTCCCGCACACAGGGTGGAATATTCCCTATGAATTCAATGAATCTGACCTGAGGATTAGTATGTGGCAGATCCAGATGTTTCTCAATGACTACAAGGAGGTACCCTTTGATGCTCTGACCTACCTGACAGGTATTTATGGGAGGGGTTTTTCCACTGTAAACCTCCAGTATCATGTTCCACCCTCCTGCTGTTCTGCTCCCATTTCCATTCACTTATTTACTCCCTCCCTCCCTCACTCACCATAAACATCGAGCTCTTACTAATGCTGGTCATCATGCTAGATATTGTAAGGAAACAAACAAACAAAAAATTAAGATAGAATCTTTACCCTTGAGTGACTCACAGTCTCCAAAAGAAGAAAAATATTTTTAAAAAATGATACAGGCCGGCGGGGCACAGTGGCTCATGCCTGTAATCTCAGCACTTTGGAAGGCCACAGCAGGTGGATCACCTGAGGTCAGGAGTTTGAGCCCAGCCTGACCAACATATAGAAACCCCGTGTCTACTAAAAATTAAAAAAATTAGCCGGGCATGGTGGTGCGTGCCTGTAGTCCTACTATTCCTTGGGAGGCTGAGACAGGAGAATTGCTTGAAGTGGGGAGGCGGAGGTTGCAGTGAACTGAAATTGTGCCACTGCACTCTAGCCTGGGTGACAGAGAGAGACTCCATCTCAAAAATAATAATAATAAAAAAATACAGGCCAGGAGCAGTGGAACATGCCTGTAATCCCAGCACTTTGGGAGACCAAGGTGGAGGGATTGCTTGAGGCCAGGAGTTTAAGACTGGCCGGGGAAAAATCCCATCTCTACAAAAAATACAAAAATTAGTCAGGCATGGTGGTACATGCGTGTAGTCCCAGCTACTCAGGGGGCTAAGGTGGGAGGATTGCTTGAGCCCAGGATGTGGAGGGGCAGTGAGCTCTGATCGTGCCACCTCACTCCAGCCTGGGTGACAAAGTGAGATCCTGTCTCAAAAGAAGAAAAAAAAAAGATAACACAGTAATAACTTCAACAAGAGAAACATTTATAAAGTAGAAGGGCAGCATAATGATTAAATCTTGGGGTAGGAGGAGGAGATGATCATGGCAAACTTCTTGAAGGCGTAAGAGATGGGTTTTCGGGGTGAGTAGGAATTTTATGAGTGGAAAAGAATGAACTGGGTGGGACATAGAGGAAGGAGAACATTCGCAGCAGAGTGACCCTGAGGTAGAAATGACCCTAGCTGTTTTGTATTAAAGCAATCAATCGGCAACCTTTTATTAGTCCATGATGTGTACATCATATGGAAGAATGTAAATGTATAAAACTTGATCATAGGCTCTGTGCGGTGGGTCACATCTGTAATCCCAGCACTTTTGGAGGCCAAGGTGGGAAGATTGCTTGAGCCCAGGAGTCTGAGACCAGTCTAGGCAACATCTCTACAAAAAAATAAAATAAAAATGAGCTGGGTGTGGTGGTGTGCACGTGTAGCCCCAGTTATCAGGAGGCTGAGGCAGGAGGATCACATGAGCACAGGAGGTCAAGGCTGTAGTGAGCTATGATCACACCACTGCACTCCAGCCTGGGTGACAGAGCAAGACCCCATCTCTTAAAAAACATACACATACACAACCTAAAAAACGTGACCACTAACTTCAAGGAATATGCTGCACAGTCCCAGAGGTAGGAACAAATATAGACGTGTGCTAAATGAATGGAAGATCATGGCTGAAGGTCAAAATGCAGCTTAATTAAAAAACTGGGGCATCAAGATCACACACAATTTCCTCTTCAGCTTCATATGTTAAGGAGTTTGTTAGAATTCCTTCCCCAGGCATGTGGCCAGCACTATATACCTGTGATTAATGCATTGAGTCTTCACATTAATCTTATGAGCTCCATGTTAATAACCCCATTTTACAGCTGGGAAGACAGAGGCTTAAAGGAGTGGTTCTCAACCGTGGGTGATTTTGGCCCCCAGTGGCTATTTGGCAATGTCTGGAGATGCTTTTGGTTGTCATAGCGCGTGCTACTGGCAGTTATAGTAGTGGAGGCTAGGGATGCTTCTGAACAGTCTACGATGTACAAGGTGGTCCCCACAACACAGAACTATCCGATCCAACATGTTAAGAATGCCAAGGTGGAGAGACTGGGCTTTACAGTGATTAAGTTCCATGCCAGAAGGTCACACTGACCTTAACTCCGTATAGTGTTCCCTAGAACAAAGCCCCAAATGACACACACAGCACACACACAGTGGATCTCAGTTTGGTGAAAGACCGTCTCCAAAGAAGTGCGCCTGGAGCTGGACACAGTGACTTGCACCTGTAGTCCCAGCTACTCAGGAGGCTGATGCCGAAGGATTACTTGGACCCAGGGATTCCAGACCAGCCTAGGCAAAACAGTGAGATCCCCGACTCTAATACTAATAATAATAATAAATAGAAGTGAGCCATATTCCCACAGTTCCAGGCCACACAGAAGCACATCCTAGGGTTCCTCTTCAGACCATAGCATGAGTGCATGATTGCCCTGGGATATGGTCTGCATAGAGAACTGCCTGCAAGCCATAAACCAACTGCCTGCTGGTCATAAACCAGCCAGCTTGAGAGTAGTCACCTTCCAACTGTTCCAGTCGGGATAGGCTAGTTAGGCTGAGATCACTAACAATCCTCAAACCTCAAGGGTATAAAAGACATCATAGATCCATTTCTTGCCCACTCTGCATTTCCAGCATGAATTGGCAAGGGTCTTTGCTCATTGTAATTCTCTGTCAGGGGCACAGTTAGCAAAGGCACCACCCACTGTTACTGCCACCATCTCAACATATACATTAGTCCCCCTTTATCCATCAGGGATATGTTCTAAGACCCCCAGTGGATGTCTGAAACTGTGGATTTTACTGCACCCCATATACACTATGTTTTATCCTATACATATATACCTATGATAAAGTTTAATTTATAAATTAGGCACAGTGAGAGATTAACAACAACAGTAATAAAATAGAACAATTACAATATATTGTAATAAAAGTTATATGAATGTGGTCTCTCTCTCTCTCTCAAAATGTCTTTTTTTTTTTTTGAGACAGAGTCTCCCTCTGTCACCCAGAGGAAGGGTTACAGTACTCTTTTAGCTCTGCCGTCCACAAACAGCTTAAATGTTAACCGCCCAGTGGCGGGTCAGTGTGACAGCCTTTTGCACCTGCACTCATGGCACCCGAGCTCTTGTCCAAGAGGTGTCCAGGAGGAATGAGGTCGCACAAATGAATTGAAGATGGTAAATGCGGGGGATTTTATTGCCAATGAAAATGGCTCTCAGTGGGAAAGGGAGCTGAAAAGGGGATGGAGCAGGAAGGTAGTCTTCTCAGGAAGTCCAGCCATCTCCAACCAGATTCTTCTCCAACGTTACACTGTCAAGCTGGTCCCCTGAAGTCAAGCCACTTCTCTCTGATGTCCAGCTGCTTCTCTCTCTCTGCTGGCCGAGCCTGGGGTTTTGATGGGCATGGGTTGCCGGGGCGGGGCAGGTCATGGGTTGTTTCAGAAAAGGCAACATTCAAGTGGGAAAACAGGGATGTAAGTTCTCACTTTGGGCCGTAGTTTCAGGCTTTTCAGCTTGAGGGTGGGGCCCTTGCAGGGGACCTGCCATCTTCTGCCCGGAATTTCCCTGCTTGCTGTCCCTATCACTGTGTCCCAGCAGAGATCTTTGGCCAGAAGAATGCCGTGTTTTATGTTAAACACCAAGCTCATAATGACCTTCCCTGGGCTCAACCTCTCTTTCTGTTGGTTGTCCCCAGGGGAATGTAATTATGGAGGCAGAGTGACTGATGACAAAGACCGGCGTCTCCTGCTGTCACTTCTGTCCATGTTCTACTGTAAGGAAATTGAGGAGGACTATTACTCCCTTGCTCCTGGAGACACTTACTACATCCCTCCTCATGGCTCCTACCAGGTAAGGGGCGGGCAGGGAGGCCCACCTCTTAGCCCACAGGGCTCCGTCATCTCTATATGGCTACAGGGCTGCAGCATAGCCAAGGAGCCCAGGGGTCACCTTGGGCTTCCTGAGTTGAATCCAAAAGCTATTCCCAATATTCCCAAAAGCCTGCAAGAGAGACATGGCTACTGTTTATGGAGGGCTTGGTATTTGGTAGACAAGATGTTTCAAAACATTGGATCTATCTGGGTGGAGGAGGGAGAGAGAAAGATGATCAAGATTGAGCCTTGGTAGTGAGCAAGATGGACATTGCTACTTGAAGACAAACATTCAGATGGTGGCAAAAAGGGAGGAACAGAAAAACTGGACAGGGAATGAGAAAAGGAAGATGAAAACAATAAATCTGAGGGATAGAAAAGAGTTTACAGGTTGGGCGCGGTGGCTCATGCTTGTAATCCCAGCACATTGGGAGGCTGAGGTGGGTGGATCACTTGAGCTCAGGAGTTTGAGACCAGCCTGACCAACATGGTGAAACGCAGTCTCTTCTAAAAATATAAAAATTAGCCAGGTGTGGTGGCACCTGCCTGTAATCCCAGCTATTTGGGGAGGCTGAGGCAGGGGAACTGCTTGAACTGGGAGGTGGAGGTTGTGGTGAACTGAGACCATGCCACTGCACTCCAGCCTGAGTGACAAAGTGAGACTGTCTCAAAAAAAAAAAAAAAAAAAAGAGCTTACTTTTATTGATCACTTGTGGAACAGAAAAACTCTCAAATCGTATTTTTCCGCTACTCTCGCACCACAACCACCACCACCATCAACACAGAAGATTTCTGTGACCAAATGTGTGGAGGTTCCCCCTTCCCCACATACTAAGCAGTGGACACCCACTGGGTGTCCTCTAATTCAATTCCAATACCATCTACCTGGTGATAGTGTCAGATCCCACAGGCTGAGGGCTCAGTCCCCAGTTCTTTCCCCCACCCCAGACACCAGTCACAAGTCCCGGCCTCAAGAACTGACCAACCAGCTTCACGTTGGGGTTCCCACCGCTCCCCCTTTAATTGAAATTAATTCAATTAATTTGCTGGAGCGGCTCACAGAACTCAGAGAAACACTTCGGTTTATCAGTTTATTAAAGGAATATTACAAAAGATACAGATGAAGAGATGCATAGGGTGAAGTATGGCGGAAGGAGTGGGAACTTCCATGCCCTCCCTGGGTGAAATACCCTCCAGGAACCTCCATGTGGTTAGCTCTCCAGAAGCTCCCTGCACCCAGTCCGCTTGGGTTTTTATGGAAGTTGCATGACATCCCCCAGAGTATAGGGCAGGACCCTCTCTCTCTAGGTGGAGTCTTAAGACTCACAATCAGGCCAGGCGCAGTGGCTCATGCCTGTAATCCCAGCACTTTGGAAGGCTGAGGCCAGTGGATGGCTTGAGGTCAGGAGTTTGAGATCAGCCTGGTCAATGTGGTGAAATTCCGTCTCTACTAAAAATACAAAAATTAGCCGGGTGTGATGGCGTGCACTTGTAGTCCCAATTACTCAGGAGGCTGAGGTGGGAAGATCGCTTGAGCCCAGGTGGCAGAGGTTGCAGTGAACCAAGATCCCACCACTGCACTCCAGCCTGGGCCACAGAGTGACCCTGTCTAAAACAAACCAACAAAAAGACTCACAATCAGAAAGATAGGGGAAGATTTGAGTCTTGCTTGGGGGCAGGTAAAAGGAGGGCAAGAGAAGGTCAGAGAGATTCTGTTTCCTGCGGCCTGCCCCTAAGGCCTAACACACCCAACATTATAACAGGTGACTGTAACAAGGGCTAGGGGAGTTAGAAGCCAGGAACCATGGATGAAAACCAGTAGATATATATATAACACCACAACCTGTCACATGCCAAGGCCTGATTCCTTCTGTGGATGAAAAGAGTCTCTTTCTTACTTTGTAAAATATTTGAAGAGATTTATTCTGAGCCAAATATGAGTGGCCATGGACTGTGACACGGTCCTCAGGAGATCCTGAGAACATGTGCTCCAGGTGGTCGGGGTGCAGCTTGATTTTATACATTTTAGGGAGCACATGAGGCATCAATCAAATACATTTAAGATATCCATTGGTTCAGTCCAGAAAGGCAGGACAACTCAAAGTGGAGGCTAGCAGGTGATAGGTAGATTTAAACATTTTCTGTTTGGCAGTTGGTTGAAAGAGTTATTATCAATAGAAAGGAATGCCTGGGTTATGATAAGAGGTTGTGGAGACCCAAGTTTTATCATGCAGATGAAACCTCCAGGGAGCAGGCTTCAGAGATACTAGATTGTAAATGTTTCTCATCAGACTTAGGGTCTGTATGTTGATGGTAATGCTGCAGGGGTATAATGAGGCGTGTCTGACCCCCACTTCCCCTCATGGCCGGAACCAGGCTTTCAGGTTAAATTTTAGAGTGGAGGGTCTTAGGATTTTACTTTTGGTTTATACTTCATAACTACACTTGTTTTTCCATTTACGGATAAGGAAACTGGGGTTTCAGATGACAAACTCAAGGGTACATAGTTTTGTTATCGGAAGGGGGTCCAGATCCAGACCCAAAGGGATGGTTCTTGGATCTTGCACAAGAAAGAGTTTGGGGCAAGTCTATAGACTAAAACGAAAGCAAGTTTATTAAGAAAGTAAAGGAGGCCAGGCACAGTGGCTCACGCCTGTAATCCCAGCATGTTGGGAGGCCAAGGAGGGCGGATCACCAGGTCAGGAGATCAAGACCATCCCTGCTAACATGTGAAACCCTGTCTCTACTAAAAATACAAAAAATTAGCTGGGTGTGGTGGCATGCGCCTGTAATCCCAGGCTGAGGCAGTCGAATTGCTTGAACCCGGGAGGCGGAGGTTACAGTGAGCCAAGATAGTGCCACTACACTCCAGCCTGGGAGATAGCAAGATTCTGTCTCAAAAAAAAAAAAACGGAAGTAAAGGAATAAAGAATGACTGCTTCATAGACAGAGCAATGGCATGGGTTGCTGCTCAACTGTTTATACTTACAGTTATTTCTTGATTATATGCTAAACAAGGGGTGTATTATTTATAAGTTTTCCGGGAAAGGGGTGGGCAATTCCTAGAAGTGAGGATTCCTCCCCTTTCTAGACCACATAGGGCAACTTCCTGGCGTTGTCATGACATCTGTAAACAGTCATGGCGCTGATGGGAGTGTCTCATAGCATGCTAATATATTATAATGAGTGTGTAATGAGCAGTGAGGACAACTAGAGGTCACTTCCGTGGCCATCTTGGTTTGGGGGTATTTGACTGGCTGCTTTACCACAACCTGTTTTATCAGCAAGGTCTTTGTGACCTGTATCTTGTGCTGACTCCTATCTCATCCTGTGACTTAGAATGCCTTCAGCTCCTAACAATGCAGCCCAGTAGGTCTCAGCCTTATTTTACTCAGCTCCTATACAAGATGGAGTCGCTGTGGTTTGAATGCCTCTGACAGTTTGGGATAGAGCTAGGATCTAAACTCAGTTCTGTCTGGGTCCAAAGCCAGGCCCACTGGGGGAGCAGAGAGGAAGCCAGGGTGGGCTGAGAGATAATTCAGCCCCATCTGCTTTCATGCACACTGCCCAGAAAACTGTATGAGGGAGGGCTAGGGATGTGTTCACCCAGCCTCTCTGTGTGTGTGTGTGTGTGTGTGTGTGTCCTGTGCTACTGATGCAGTGTGATTCCTGTTCTGATTGGGTTCTGCTAAGCTTGGAGTCATCTGTGGGATTCTGGGGTCCCTCGTTTATTTCAACTGAAGATTTCCCTTCCAGTCCTATATCGACTATCTCAGGAGCCTCCCCATCACAGCCCACCCAGAAGTGTTTGGCCTCCATGAGAATGCAGACATCACCAAAGACAACCAGGAAACCAACCAGCTGTTTGAGGGGGTCCTGCTGACCCTCCCTAGACAGTCAGGAGGAAGTGGCAAGTCCCCTCAGGTAACTGGGCTGGGGAAAGGGGGCTCAATCCTATTTCCCAGGCAGTTCTCCATCCAGTGGGCACACAGGATTGGAGGATGACCAAGAAGGCAGAGAGCGGGGGCCTGGCAGCCTCCTGGCCAGTGGCAGGGAAGGGGCACGGTGGCCTTACTGCCAGGAGTCGTTATATCCAGAGCTGCAAGGGAACCAGCATGTCCAGAATGTCAGCTATTCCTGTATAACCTTTACGTTTTCTGCTATATCCACCTATCACCTATACTCCATTTACATAATGGGTTTTTGCTTTTTTTCTTTTTCTTTTGCTTTTTTTTTTCTACATAATGTTTTAAAACTAACTCTCTTCTTTTTTTTTTTTTTAATTTAAAAGATTGCACATCAGAACCATAAGTGGAAACCCAGTATCATTTCCATAAAGTCATGATAGGCATAAAAAGAAAATGAAAGCTGAACAGTTGGTGTTTTTTGGTTTCTGTTTGTTGTTGTTGTTGTTTTTCTTTTCTTTTTTTTTTTTTTTTCACTTTGAGACACAGTCTGGCTCGGTCACCTAGGCTGGAGTGCAGTGGTGTGATCTTGTCTCACTGCAACCTGGCCTCCCAGGCTCAAGCAATTCTCCTGCCTGAGCCTCCTGAGTAGCTGGGACTACAAGCACATGCCACCATGCCCAGCTAAATTTTTTTGTATTTTTTGTAGAGGCAGTGTTTCACCATATTGTCCAGGATCGTCTCAAACTCCTGGGCTCAAGCAATCTGTTCATGTTGGCTTCCCAAAGCGCTGGGATTACAGGCATGAGCCACCGCTTCCAGCCTGAACAGTTGTTAAGTTCTTCCCGGATAATGTTGCTGGCCAAAGCCCCTGAGCTGAGGCTTTGCTGGCTTCTTGTTAAAAGGAGAATGATGTGTGAGTGTCTAAGAATTGGCACTGACCCAAAACTTTATTTTTGAAAGGAATGAAAAGAGAAAGATGGTCAGAACTTGACAAGAGGCCAGGTGTGGTGGATCACACCACACCAGTGGTCCCAGCACTTTGGGAGGCTGAAGCAGATCACTTGAGGCCCGGAGTTCGAAGCCAGCCTGGGCAACATAGGGAGACCGTATCTCTACAAAAAAAAAGTTTTTTTCAGTTAACCAAGGGCTGGGCACCATGGCTCATCCTGTAACCCTAGCACTTTGGGAGGCCGAGGCAGGTGGATTGCTTGAGCCAAGGAGTTTGAGACCAGCCTGAGCAACATGGCAAAACACCGACCGTCAAAAAAAAAAAATTAGCCGAGCTCGGTGGCGCGCACCTGTAATCCCCGCTACTCAGGAAGCTGAGGTGGGAGGATGACTTGATTCCGGGCTGTGGAGGCTGCAGTGAGATGAGCTTGCACCACTGCACTCCAGCCTGGGTGACAGTGAGAGACCCTGTCTTAAAAAAAGTTAACTGGGGCCGGGCGCGGTGGCTCACGCCTGTAATCCCAGCACTTTGGGTGGCTGAGGTGGGCGGATCACAAGGTCAGGAGATCGAGAACATCCTGGCTAACATGGTGAAACCCCGTCTCTACTAAAAATACAAAAAATTAGCTGGGCATGGTGGCGGGCGCCTGTAGTCCCAGCTACTCGGGAGGCTGAGGCAGGAGAATGGCGTGAACCTGGGAGGCAGAGCTTGCAGTGAGCTGAGATCGCGCCACCGCACTCCAGCCTGGGCGACAGAGCGAGACTCCGTCTCAAAAAAAAAAAAAGTTAACTGGGTGTGGTGGGCATGCCTGTAGTCCCAGCTACTAAGGGGGCTGAGGCGGAAGGATCACTTGAGCTCAGGAGGTCAAGACTGCTGTGAGCTGTGATCGTGCCTTTGCACTCCCACCTGGATGACAGAGTGAGACACTATCCCAAAACAATAACAACAACAACAATGAAGAAAACTCCAAAACCTGAAAGGGTACCTTTCTCACCACGTGACTCAACATGATTTTTCTGTGTCCTGGAAACAACCTAAAATCCTGGGTACATCTAGTAGTCCCAGTCCACTCTTCGTGATTCACTGACCCAGATCACCTTCCTTAGTCTGCAAACAGAGAGAGAAACAAATCCTGAGAGAGCAAGTGAGCGGCTTCCAGGCCTTCATAAAATCAAGGACACAGCCAGAGCCGGAGCCACCGTCTCCTGACTCCACCTGCTTCCTCTCCCATCCCTTTCTTTCTCCACCTTCCAAACTACCTCCTCCTGTTCAGCCCCTCCCAACTGTAGAACTTGCTAATTTGCTTTCATGATTTGGTTCCTAGTGCCATTAAGTATCACTGGTATGAAGGTACACCAGCCTGGTTGGTGTGTCCCGACGTAGGAGTGGAAATTCCCCTCACAGTGGGAAGAGGGAAAGAAGTGCACATCCCAGCCTCCCTCATCCACAGGACCGCAGGGTGTCTGTCTCTCCCACACCCGGGTCTTGTTCCTCCTTGAGCCTCCAGGCCTTTCCCCTCCCTACTTGGCTAAGCTCAGTGATCTGTGCTTTTCTTGCTCAATGCTGAAGAATGGCCTGCTGCCTTCCCAGGTGTTGTGGGCACTGAGAAAAGGTCCCATAGCATCAGGAGCTAATCCTCAGGGGCCTGAGGCTGTGGGAGATTCTCACCCTGGTGTGACATTGAAGACAGAGGCTCGGTGCTGCCTGGAAGCTACCTGGCCCTTCGGCTCTTGCCTGAGGTGTCAGGACAGGACTCTTTTTTTTTTTTTTTTTCACTTTTAGACAAGGTCCCCCTCTGTCACCCAGGCTGGAGTGCAGCAGCCAGATCTCAGCTCACTGCAACATCTGCCTCCTGGGTTCAAGTGATTCTCCTGCTTCAGCCTCCCAAATAGCTGGGACCACAGGCATGCAGCACCACGCACAGCTAATTTTTGTATTTTTTGTAGAGACTGGCTTTTGCTATGTTGCCCAGGCTGGTCTCAAAGTCCTGGACTCAAGCGATCCACCCACTTTGGCCTCCTAAAGTGCTGGGATCACAGACGTGAGCCACCGTGCCCTGCCAAGGACAGGACTCTACTCTTCCGGGCCAAGAGGCGAGGTCCTCTCCAAGGCTGCTGGGGTGATGAAGGACTCCTTTCCCCACCGGAGGCAGAAATGGCTTCGGTTGGAGAGTTCTCAGGAAAGTCCCACAGAATACATTTGAAAAGCCAGATGCTTAGTACTTCAAGTGTATCCAAAGCCACAGCCTGTAGGGCTTGCTTCTCACTCACCTCTCTTCTGCCTGCACTTTAAGGAAGTGGTTGAGGAGTTGGCGCAAGACATTCTCTCCAAGCTTCCGAAAGACTTCGACCTGGAAGAGGTCATGAAGTTGTACCCCGTGGTCTATGAGGAATCCATGAACACCGTCCTAAGGCAGGAGCTCATCAGATTCAACAGGTGGGCCGGATGATGTAGCTTGAATCCTGGGAGTTGGAACGTGAGGAGTAGGATCTAACAGGCAGTAGCTGAGAAGGGGTTGCTATGCAGAGGAAGTGGTTTGTCTCACCCGTATTAGGGGTGTGAATAGGGCCTGTGAACAGGGCCATCCCCAGCACATGCTGACCCTGGGTTGAATCATTCCTTCTATTCATTCATTCCCATTCATTCATCTGACATCTATAAAGTTAGGCAAAAGCCAGTATCAAGCACAGGCTAATAGTAAAAGTGGTCATGAGAGCCACTTTTCTTTCTCTTTCCTGGGTTGAGGTCTCTCTGTCGCCCAAGTTGGAGTGCAGTGGTATGATCACGACTCATTGCAGCCTCGAACTCCTGGGCACAAGCAATCCTCCCACCTCAGCCTCCTGAGTAGCTGAGTCTACAGACACAGGCCGCCATACCCGGCTAATCTTTTTATTTTTTATTTTTTATAGAGATGGAGTTTTGACATGTTGGCCAGGCTGGTCTCGAACTCCTGGCCTCAAGTAAGCCTCCAGCCGTGGCCTCCTAAAGTGCTGGGATTACAGGTGGGAGCCACTGCACCTGGCCTGGAGCCATTTGTGTTGAGCCTTTAGTGACAGATATGGTTCTAAACACTATGCATGGGTCTTATTCAAAGTATGCAACAGGGCTGGGCACAATGGCTAATGCCCGTAATTACAGCACTTTGGGAAGCAGAGTAGGGAGGATCACCTGAGGCCAGGAGTCCACGATTAGCCTGGGCAACAAAGAAAGACCCCATCTCTCAAAAAAAAAAAAAAAAAAAATGGCAGGCATGGTGGTGCACGGCTACAGTCCCAGCTACTTGGGAGAGTGAGGTGGGAAGATCTCTTGGAGGCCAGGAGCTCAAGGTGGCAGTGAGCTATGATCTTGCCACTTGCACTCCAGCCTGGGTGACAGAGAAAGACCCTATCCCTTAAAACACACACACACACACAAACACACTAGTCTTTTGAAATATGTCCAGTTATTAATCCTGCTACCAGCATTTTACAAATAAAAAAACTGAGGCAGAGCGTGATCACTCACGCCTATAATCCCAGCACTTTGGGAGGCAAGCCGGGAGGATTGCTTGAGCCCAGGGGTTTAAGACCAGCCTGGGCAATATGGCAAGACCCCATCTCTTAAAGAAAACAAAACAAAAAAAAACAACCCTGAGATTCAGAAGGGTTAAGACTTGCCCAAGGTTGCTCAGTATTCAGTAATTCAATGGGAAAACTCAGTTTAAACCCAGAACTAAGTCTGATTCCAGAGCCCACGTACTTGGCCAATATGTGAAATTTGGGTAAATCTAGAAAGGGGTGGTAGACGCTCATCCCAGTGCCTCTACCACACAGTTAGGGGTGTTATAGGCTGGCCATGGGGCCAGGATCTCTGGCCACGTATTCTAGTCCTCTTCTCCTCCAGTTATTACAGCATGGAGCCCAGTGGGATCACCTGGATTTGATTTCTAAATAGTCAAAACTGAAAGGGTTACCAAAGACCATCTAGGCCAGATGAGGAAACTGAGGTCCAGAGATGACTGTGGTTTAATGTAGGTCTCAAGTGACTCAGAGCCAAGTGGGCTAAAACTTATCACTTCTGCTTCCAAGAGCAAGGTCTTGCTCCAGACACTCCATGTGTTACTGCCTCTATTCTGTCTCATTGGGTCATTGCTCCGTTTTAAGGACAGCCCTAATTCCAGAGGACTAGGGTACTGGAGGAATGTTATTTGAGAGTGGCTTGACTTCCTGAGTTTTAGGGTTACTCTTTTTTTTGAGACAGAGTCTCGCTCTTGTCGCAGACTGGAGCGCAGTGGCGCGATCTCGGCTCACTGCAACCTCCACCTCCCAGGTTCAAGAGATTCTCCTGCCTCAGCCTCCAGAGTAGCTGGGATTACAGGCACACGCCACCATGCCCAGCTAATTTCTGTACTTTTAGTAGAGATGGGGTTTCGCCATGTTGGCCAGGCTGGTCTCGAACTCCTGATCTCAGGTGATACGCCCACCTCAGCCTCCCAAAGCTGGGATTACAGGCATGAGCCACTGCGCCTGGCCTAGGGTTACTCTTTAGAGTCAACAGGCAGTTGGCCGTAGCAGGGACCAAGCAAGGTATGGGGTGTGAGCCTAGGACGAGGCCACCTCTGTTGTGAGTCAGACACCTTGGCATGATGGGCTGTAGTCCTGGACTGTCCAGCTGGACACCAAAACTAATGGCTTCCCTCCTCTGCTGTCATTCTCCTCTAAGGCCACTGGAGCTCTTTGTTGGTGGTTGCAGGGGCTTTCACTGGCCTTCACCACTGGGCATTCTATAAAGGAGAGCAAGCCAGGCGCGGTGGCTCAGGCCACCCAGCAGTGTAATCCCAGCACTTTAGGAGGCTGAGGGGGGCAGATTGCTCAGGAGTTGGAGACCAGCTTGGGCAACATGGCAAAAACCCCGTCTCTACCAAAAATATAAAAAATTATCTGGGCATTGTAGAACCAGCTACTCAGGAGACTGAGGAGGGAGGATTGCTTGGGCCTGGGAGGTGGAGGTTTCAGTGAGCCAAGATTGCACCACTGCACTCCAGCCTGGGCAATAGAGTGAGATGCTGTCTCAAAAGAAAACAAAAAGGGAAACCAATCTTATTTTCCAACGATGGTCAGGATTAATCATCTCCCCACTATCTTTTTTTTTCTTTCTTTTTTTTCTGCCTTTTCACCCAGTGGTATAGGAAGCCCAGAATGATTCAGCGACAGTTCAGCTTCCAATTCAGGGGAACTGTGACTGTGTCTTCTGGGCAAGTGTTCTTTCCTTGGGTACTAAAACCTTAAAACTAGCAGAGCTCATAGTTGCAAGAATAGAGAATCTTTGCAAATAGGTCTTTAGGTATAATAGAGGTCTGTGGTGTAATCCCTCAGATGGTAGCTTTTACCCTTGACTGCTTATCTAACACATGTCTGAATTTTACATTCCTTTTTTTGTTTGTTTGTTTCTGAGACAGAGTTTCGCTCTTGTCACCCAGGATGGAGTGCAATGGCACGATCTCAGCTCAGCTCACTGCAACCTCCACCTTCTGGGTTCAAGTGATTCTCCTGCCTCAGCCTCCCGAGTAGCTGGAATTACAGGTGGTGCGCCACCACGCTCAGCTAATTTTGTATTTTTAGTAGAGATGGGGTTTCACCATGTTGGTCAAGTCGGTCTCAAACTCCTGACCTCAAGTGATCCACCCACCTCGGCCTCCCAAAGTGCTGGGATTACAGGCGTGAGCCCCCGTACCCAGCCACATTCCTCTTAGATACAATGGTTTGGTGGTTACACATCCAGAAATTCTTTTCCTGCATGTGTCATTCTCATGTCCATTCAGTTGAGATTCCATAAATCTTTGGAGATGAAAAGCTCTTTGTAGTAGCAGATTCTTTGGTCTCCTCAGGTGAATTACCCCCGGGCTTGGCTGGGCCTTGTAACATAGAGGTCAGAGGGAGAGGCAGGTGAATTTGACATCTCCCAGGCTGCCCTTCAGTTGCCTTTTCTCAGGTGTGCACCTTATAGTTGATAAAAAAGGGCCTTGGGCCAGGCGTGGTAGCTCATCTGTAATCCCAGCACTTTGGGAGGCTGAGATGGGAGGATTACTTGAGTTTAGGAGTTTGAGACCAGCTTGGGCAACATAGGGAGACCTTGTGTCTACTTAAAAAAAAAATCAGGTAGGCATGGTGGCATGTGCCTGTAGTCCCAGCTACTCAGGAGACTCAAGGTGGGAGGATTCCTTGAGCCTGGGAGATCGAGGCTGCAGTGAGCCATGACTGCACCACTGCACTCCCCTGGGTGACAGGGCAAGACTCTGTCTCAAAAAAAAAAAAAAAGAACAACTTTGACAATAGGAATCGAAAGCCTTGAAACTGTGCATGCTCTCTGACCTAGAAATATTTTTAGTAATAATTTAAAATTTGCAAAAAGATTGAGATGGATGAATTTTGCTAGCAATGTTGTTGATAGTGACAACAATCTAGAAATAACACGTCAACAATAGAGGAATAGTTAAACAAAATGGAACACTTTGCAGTCATTAAAAAGGGCAGGCATGGTGATGCACACCTGTAGTCCCAGCTACTCCAGAGGCTGAGGCAGGAGGATCACTTGAGCCCAGGAGTTCGAGGCTGCAGTGAGCTATGACTGCACTACTGCACTTCAGCCTGGATGACAGAGTGGAAACCCCATCTCTAAAAAAAAAAAAAAAGAAAGAAAAAAGGACAATTTAGGTCTCTATTTATTGAATTGGAAAGATGTTTCCTATGTGCTAAGAAAGAAAAACAGATTGCAGAAATATAATATAGTATGATCTCATTAAAAATAATTTGTGTTTACATAGAGAAAAATCTGGAAAGATATACATCAACGTTATCTTTAGGTAGCAAGGTAATGGGTGATTTAATTTTTTCTCAATTAATGACTGTGCATTAATTAACTGACGTTTTAAAGGGGGGATAAGTATGAGGAGACAGGAGTCAGTGGACTTGGGTAGAATGTGGCCACTGGAGAGTCCAACGTAGCCAGCTCCTCTGTTCTTGCAGGCTGACCAAAGTGGTTCGGAGGAGCCTCATCAATCTTGGCCGAGCCATCAAAGGACAGGTCCTGATGTCCTCAGAGCTAGAGGAAGTCTTTAACAGCATGCTTGTGGGTAAAGTGCCAGCCATGTGGGCAGCCAAGTCTTACCCATCACTGAAGCCTCTGGGGGGCTACGTGGCTGACCTGCTGGCCCGCCTGACCTTCTTCCAGGTATCTGGGAGTCAGGGGTAACCGGGAACCTGGCATGCTCACTTAGGTGGAAAGGACATTCTGCAATGACAGACTAGAGGCAGGGGGAGGAGGGCAGGCAGCCACAGAGCATCCTAGATTGAGCCTCTGGAAATAGTCTTCCCGGAGTTAGAAGGAGGAGGGAGACTTGAAAGTTCTTGAAAAGATTATAGATGCCCGGGCACAGTGGCTCACATCTGTATTCCCAGCACTTTGGGAGACTGAGGTGGGCGGATCACTTGAGGTCAGGAGTTCGACACCAGCCTGGCCAGCATGGTGAAACCCCATCTCTACTAAAAATACCAAAAAAATTAGCCGGGAGGGGTGGCTCATGCCTGTAGCCTCAGCTACCTGGGAGGCTGAGGCAGGAAAATGACTTGAACCTGGGAGGCAGAGGTTGCAGTGAGCTGAGATTGCGCCATTGCACTCCAGCCTGGGTGACAGAGCAAGACTCCATCTGAAAAAAAAAAAAAAAAGATTATGGAGCCAGGAACAGGAACAAGAATAAATATCACAAACTGGTGGCTCATGGGATAGATTTGGACAATAATTATGTTTGGTTTGGCTGCCTGGTAATTTAAACATTTTTGAGCCAGCATGTAAACATTGGATTTTTACATATAAAAATCCAGATGTTTGTACTGCAAAAAATAGAAGACCTGAAACAGCGGGCCTGCATTCTCGCATGGCATAGCAACTATTGCTGGAGATGAGTGGCAGCTGCTCAGTTTAGGCAAGGTACATATTCTCCACTGCTACAGTCCCCACCGCTCTCTGTTGTATCCCTGATATCAGCTTGTACCTGGGCTTTTCTTTTCTTTTCTTTTCTTTGAGATGAAGTTTCACTCTTGTCGCTCAGGCTAGAGTGCAATGGCATGATCTTGGCTCACTGCAGCTTCTGCCTCCTGGGTTCAAGCGATTCTCCTGCCTCAGCCTCCCAAGTGGCTGGGACTACAGGCGCCCATCACCACACCCAGCTAATTTTTGTAGTACCTGGGCTTTTCTTAAAGTATAAATATATTTTTTGTACCCTTATTTCAAAAGTGGGAAGAGAGAAGCTAAACCAAGAGGGCTGTTTCAAGAAAAATAAGAAAAAACATGTTTTATATGGGACTTGTTTACATGACTTGCGTTTGAACTATCTTTGATGTGTTGTTGATTTCAAATCTTGATTTCTGTGGCTCTCCAGGAATGGATTGACAAGGGGCCCCCTGTGGTATTTTGGATCTCTGGATTCTACTTCACACAGTCTTTTTTGACTGGCGTCTCTCAGAATTATGCCCGGAAATATACCATCCCCATTGACCACATTGGATTTGAGTTTGAGGTAGGGGTGCTTTGGGTTAGGCTCACTCAAGGGGCTGACCAGAGAAAGCAATGTTGCCAATTTCCTTATGAGTCAAAAAATGTGGATGTGTTAAGACCCAAATGCTTCTGAAGTGGTACATATGAAGTATTTAGCATAATTTACAGCAGCTCTAAAAGCTACTCCTAAAATAGAGGATTCCCAATGCTTTGTCTCTGTACAAAAAGGGAATCTTTCCAGATTCCATCAGAATACCAAGAAAAATGAAGGCACTCTCCCACTCTGTTTGTTCAACGTGGTGGACTCTTCATTTGGAAGAACGTTAATGCCCTTGGGTAGTCCTTGGCTTGGAGTAAAGTTAAAAGAATGGCCGATAGTCAAGCATCACCCTGTCATATATAGAGAGTAGAATGGCTAAGATTGACTGTTACAGAGCATTGTAGAATTTTAAATTATGTGGAAAGATCCTTTGTAATCATCTAGTTCAGAGGTCACAAACCGGTTGCCCTGTCTTAAGTCAGTTTATGAATGAACTTAACTTGATTAGTCTTTGAAGACAATGTTAATCCAAAATAAATACAACAAGAAGAAAAATGACTAGGATAAACATTGAAAAAAAGATAAAACCATCTTCCTTGATGTTGAAATGATTGTATACCTAGAAATCCAAAGTGATTAAAAACATAGAGTACTTTACTTGCAATGGTTCAACTTACAATTTTTTGATTTCATGGTGTGAAATAAATACACGTTCAGTAGAAACCACACTTTGAGTACCCATACAACCATTCCACTTTTCACTTTTAGTACAGTATTCAATAAATTACATAAGATACTCAACACTTTACTATAAAATAGACTTTGTGTTAGATGATTTCTGCCCAGCTACAGGCTATTGTAAGTGTTCCAAGCACATTTAGGGGAGGCTAGGCTAAGCTATGATATTTGTTGTATATTAGGTATATTAAATGCAGTTTTGACTTACAATATGTCCAATTTATGTTGGGTTTATCAGGACATAACCCCATTGTAAGTTGACGAGCATCTGTAGAAGAATTCACAAAGTCACTGGATATTGGTTAAATTTGTAAAAATCAACAGCTTTTTCCTATTCTTCCAATAGATACTTAGAATTAGAAATGGGAAAAACATTCCATTCACCATACAATTTTTTAAAAGTATAATTTGAATGATTTTAAGTGGAGCTTGTGCTCTCTGGTTCACCATAATCCCCTCCCCTCCCTATTCTCCTATACTTTGTCCATTTTCTGCAATTACCTAAAGGAATTTGAGTTTACCACCCCTGAATCTAAGCAGTGGTGTGCTGGAGCTCACGCATATCAGCTCACCAGGGCCATCGGTTACATTTTCAGGCATTTTGTTAAATAGTTTGTAGACTGAAATCGACCATGCTGGAAGTCTTTATACCACAGAAACTAGAAATCAAGGCTTTATTCTTCCCACACTCATCTCCAGAACTGTTTACCCAGTCTGTCTCTGAATCTGAATCTAACCCCAACCCCTCACTTTATAAATCCAGATCCAGAAAGGGAAGGGATTATGCAAAGTCACTAAGCTAGTTAGAGGTAATGTGTTAGAGTAATGTGACTCCTACTTGAGTGCATTCTCTAGCCCACCATTGGGAAGGGAGCATACTGACTAGGAGTCAGGCCTGGCCCATGTATGGCGGGCAGGAATATTATCACAGAAGCCCCATTGTGCCTGGATCCTGGGAGAGGTAGATATTGCAGCCAGGTTGCACTTTGAGTATCAGAAAATTCCAGGCTCTTAAAGCTGCGCATGTAGGAAAATGGCAGGCAATGGAATTCATAGCTTTTTATTCTTCCAGGTAACCACACAAGAAACAGTGATGGAGGATAACCCTGAAGATGGGGCCTACATCAAAGGGCTCTTCTTAGAAGGTGCCCGTTGGGACAGGAAAACGATGCAGATTGGGGAATCTCTCCCCAAAATCCTCTATGACCCACTGCCCATCATTTGGCTGAAACCTGGGGAGAGTACAATGTTTCTGCATCAGGACGTTTATGTGTGTCCAGTCTACAAAACAAGTGCCCGCAGAGGAACCCTCTCCACCACAGGTCACTCTACCAACTACGTCCTCTCCATTGAGCTTCCAACAGACAGGCCCCAGAAGCACTGGATAAACCGAGGGGTGGCCTCACTGTGCCAGCTGGATAACTGATGGCATTGTCTCAAGACAGAAAATAAAAAGCATGTCTTTTTTTTTTGTTTTGCTTTGTTTTGTTTTGAGACAGTCTTGCTCTGTCACCCAGGCTGGAGTGCAGTGGCATGATCTCAGCTCACTGCACCTTCTGCCTTCCAGGTTCAAGTGATTCTCGTGCCTCAGCCTCCTGAGAAGCTGGGATTACAGGCACGCACCACCATGCCAGGCTACTTTTTTTTTGTATTTTTAATAGAGACAGGGCTTTCACCATGTTGCCCAGGCTGGTCTCGAACTCTTGAGCCCAGGCAATCCGCCCCCAGTCGGCCTCCCAAAGTGCTGGGATTATAGGTGCCACCGCGCCTGGCCAAAAGGCATTTCATTCTTGATGATAGTGGTGGTGATGATGTTGATGACAACAATTATATTAACAGAGCAATTGCGATGAGCTAGGTATTTCACAGCAACTCTATAAAGTACATTCTTATTATTATCCTCATTTTATGGCTGCAGAAACCATGATACAGAGAAGATAAGTAATCTCCCCCAAATCAGATAGCTACTCAAGTAGTATTTGAACAAAGGCAGTGGGACTCTTCAACATAGACTCTTGGTTAGTTGGCTAAGCTCCCTTAGGGTGATTTTCTTCTTCTTCTGAGACAGTTTCTCGCTCTGCAGCCCCGGCTGGAGTGCAGTGGCACAATCTCGGCTCACTGCAACTTCTGCCTCCCAGGTCCAAGTGATTCTCATGCCTCAGCCTCCCAAATAGCTGGAATTACAGGCATGCACCACCATGCCTGGCTAATTTTTGCATTTTTAGTAGAGACGGGGTTTTGTCATGTTGGCCAGACTGGTCTTGAACTCCTGGCCTCAAGTGATCCACCCGCCTTGGTCTCCCAAAGTGCTGGGATTACAGTTGTGAGCCATTGCACCCGGCCTTATTTTTTTCTTCTTATTTTGCTGTAACTGTCATTGAATTTCAATCACTTCTTTCCTAGTATATCCATAAGGGCTACCACCAAGGCCTCTCAAAGGCTGACAGAGGTTTGGGCCACTTTTATTTGCTAAGGCCCTTGATATATTTAAAATGGACTCTTTTTGGTATTTAGAGGTAAAAAATAAAATGCACTTTTCACAACAATCTTAGATGGGAGGTATTATCATTTTTTCCACTTTACAGAGGAAAATGCAGAGATTTAGAAAAATAACTAGCCCAAAGTTCCACAGCTAGTCAGTGATAGAACTGGGACGCAATCGCTTCTCTACGAGCCTGCACAGATGGATGGAAATTTCCGGAGGAAAGGGGAGGTAAGAGAAGCAATATTTATTGCATGCCTACTATATGCCATGCTTTGTGCCCAGGCCCTTCGATTTCTCACTTGATCCCCTGTGGTGGGAATGACTGTCCTCTCCCTTGGAGGTTCAGAGAGATTATCTTCCCTAAAATTGCCCCACTTTTTCACACTGCAAAGCCTGGTTTGTGCTGGTCTGGCTCTTGAACCCATGCATTTTTCACTGCCACATGCTGCCTCCCTGCCAAGGACTTGGCTCTGTTTTGCTGTAGAATCTTAGAAGAGATGTGTAGCTCCAACTATACAACTGTGTCCAAGAAATTTCAATCACTTGCTTCTCCCCAGGGCCAGCTGGAAGAGACTCTTGAGGGAGATAAAAATCACATTCTTGATGCATTACTTCTTCACTAACTCTCTCATGTAGCCTTTTGCCACTAAGTGGCTTATTTCAGGGCCCTGTCTTGGTCACTTCGTAGTTGAGCAAAGACATGAGACTGTTTGGGGGGTCTTCACGTGTCTGGCCTTGGCTTCTCTGCCTCTTCACTAGAAGAAATGTTTTGAATCAGGGTCTCTGATTTTTTTTTTTTTGAGACAGAGTCTTGCTCTCTCACCTAGGCTGGAGTGCAGTGGCACGATTTTGGCTCACTGGAACCTTCGCCTCCCAGGTTTAGGTGATTCTCCTGCCTCAGCCTCCCATGTAGCTGGGATTACAGGTGCCTGCCACCATGCCTGGTTAATTTTTATATTTTTAGTAGAGACAGGGTTTCACCATGTTGGCCAGGGTGGTCTCAAACTCCTGACCTCAAGTGATCCACCCGTCTCGGCCTCCCAAAGTGCTAGGATTACAGACGTGAGTCACTGTGCCCAGCCAATAGCTATTTTTTCAAGAAAATTTTTCCAATGGGGGAGAAATCAGAATGAACAGATAGCTGGAACTACCCTATTGTTCCAAATAAGATTGTTAGTCATTTTGGATAGAAGGATGGTCAGGATCTCAAATCCCTGAATCTTGGACTGGTAGGTAAGTCACAACGCAAGCTGTAAAGGAGCTGTCAGTGAGGGGGTTGCTAAGAGAACAACTGAATTTTAATTATAGTTCTCCAACCACAGCTTCAGCAACAAAAAGCTGAGGGAGGCAGGGACTGGTCTCATTCCTCAAGGGTCAAGGGACAGACTGTTTTCATATGATGGATTACATTTTTGTAATTTAAAAAATGTTCTCCACTTTGAAGAGAAAGACTGCCTGAAATTTGAGGTCATTTTCTATTCGGGCCAATGTGGTAGTTAATGTCTCCTCCTGTGAAAGAGCAATATGCTCTTCAGAAATCATGGTGAGTTAGAGGCTGGAGTCCTGGGGAAGAGATGGCCAGAGATCAGCTCGGTGAGAAGCAGAAGGCCCTGCCTATAAATAGCCCAGCAGATGACATCAGACAAACCTCGTTACCAAGCTAGTCCTTGTTCTTTAAAAATCTAGCTCTTGGGGACTGGGTGCAGTGGCTCACCCCTGTAATCCCAGCACTTTGAGAGGCCGAGGCAGGCGGATCACCTGAGGTCAAGAGTTCAAGACTAGATTGGCCAACATGGTGAAATGTCGTCTCCACTAAAAATACAAAAATTAGCTGGATGTGGTGGCCTGTAATCCCAGCTACTCAGGAGACTGAGGCTCGAGAATCGCTTGAACCCAGGAGGCGGAGGTTGCAGTGAGCCGAGATTGTGCCATTGTACTCCAGCCTGGGTGACAAGAGTGAAATTGTCTCAAAAAAAAAAAAAAAAAAAAATCTAGCTCTTGGGTAAGCAGTTATGTTCAGTCCTTATCAGTGTTGGAAGATAATTACATTGAAGGTGGGGATGTAGGGAAGGTGGGTTCTGCCTTTGAGAGACTCAAGATGGGGATTTTATTGTTTTGGAGAGAAAGTGGGGAAAATGCTATGAAGAACAGAGCACAGGTTACATGGAGGGTTTGAGAGTAAATCGACAATTATGCTTTTGTGTAACAGTATATGCATGTTTGCAAAGGGGCTAGGCATGTAATACTCACATTAAGGAAAATGGAAGATGGCCAAAGGCTGTCTAGCAGTGAGATGGACTTCCATCCTGAAAAGGCTGGGTGAGAAGGCTGATTTCTACACTCAGTAGAGTAAGGCAAAAATGCAAATAATCAAAATCACTTTGAGTTACTTAGAAAGGAACTTTCCCATCTCCCATGATGGAGATGAGAGACATGTCTCACTCGGTCCAACACAGCCAGTTTTTCCTCCAGTGCAGAAACAGATTGGTTTCACTGGCTGACCACCAGATGAAGTAGTTGGCTTCATTTCGTAAGCTCTATGTTGCATGAGAAAAAATTAACTTTAGACATTAGAACCACCTCCGGACAGGGAAATGCCTGCACAATGAGACCAGTTGGAAGGAGAGTGGCTGAAGGAACGGCAGATTCATGTCTCTCAATTCAAGCTAGGCTGGGCTATGTGCTCACTGAATGGCCACGGGAAGGCCAGAACACCTGCCAGCATATTTACGTTTCTCTGTCTCTCTTCGCCAAAGGCTTTGCTGTGGTTTGAATGTGTCCCCCAAAGTTTAGGTATTAGAAAATTCCCAAGCAAAAGTGTTGAGAAGTGCAACCATTAGGAGGTGACTAGGTCAGGAGGGCACAGATTAATGTTATTGCCAGAGTGGGTTTGTTATAAAAGTCAGTTCAGGCCGGGTGCAGTGGCTCACTCCTGTAATCCCAGCACTTCAGGAGGCCGAGGCGGGTGGATCATCTGAGCTCAGGAGTCTGAGACCAGCCTGGCCAACATAGTGAAACCCCGTCTCTACTAAAAATACAAATAAATAAATAAACAAGTAAATTAGCTGGGAGTGGTGGCTGGTGCCTGTAGTCCCAGCTACTTGGGAGGCTAAGGCAGGAGGATGGCGTGAACCCGGGAGGTGGAGCTTGCAGTGAGCCGAGATCGTGCCACTGCACTCTAGCTTTCTAGCCTGGGTGACAGAGCGAGACTCCGTCTCAAAACAACAACAACAACAAAAAAAACCCAAAAAATTAGCCGAGAGTGGTGGCAGATGCCTGTAATCCCAGCTGTTCGGGAGGCCGAGGCAAGAGAATTGCTTGAACCCCGGAGGCAGAGGCTGCAGTGAGCCGAGATTGTGCCATTGCACTCTAGCCTGGGCAACAAAGGCAAAACTCCGTATCAGAGGAAATAAATAAATAAAAATTAAAAAATACAAGTCAGGTCAGCTCTGTCTTTCACCATGTGATGACTTCTGCCATATTATGACACAGAAAGAAGGCCCTCGCCAGATGTGGGCTCCTCAAATGTGGACTTCCTAGCCTCTAGAACTGTAAGAGAGAAATCTCTGTTCTTTATCAATTACCCAGTCTCAGATATTCTGTTATAGCAGCACGAAATGAACTAAGACAGAAAATTGGTACCAAGAAGTAGGGCTTCTGCAATAACAAGAATCTGAAAATGTGGAGGCAGCTTTGGAACTGGGTAATGGGTAGAGGCTGGAAGAATTTGGAGGAGCCGGCTAGAAAAAGCCTAGATTGTTGTGAATGGAGCATTAAGGGCAATTCTGGTGAGGGTTCAGAAGACAGGAGCTGTAGTAGGAGTCTAAATCTTCTAGAGACTACTTAAGTGGTTGTGATCAAAATGTTGGTAGAAAATAGGAAAGACCATTCTGATGAGGTCTCAGATGGGAATGAGGAACAAGGTATTAGAAACTGGAGTAGGCCGGGCGCGGTGGCTCAAGCCTGTAATCCCAGCACTTTGG